ACTAGATGTGTGTATAATCCTTATTATATATATTATATATATACATATACTGCATGTATAGACTGTAAGATACTGTGGGTAGATTAGAACTAGATGTGTGTATAATCCGTATTATGTATATTATATATATACATATACTGCATGTAAAGACTGTAAGATACTGTGGGTAGATTAGAACTAGATGTGTGTATAATCCGTATTATGTATATTATATATAAACATATACTGCATGTATAGACTGTAAGATACTGTGGGTAGATTGGAACTAGATGTGTGCATAATCCGTATTATGTATATTATATATATATATACTGCATGTATAGACTATAAGATACTGTGGGTAGATTGAAACTGGATGTGTGTATAATCCTTATTTTATATATTATATATATACATATACTGCATGTATAGACTGTAAGATACTGTGTGTAGATTAGAACTAGATGTGTGTATAATCCTTATTATATATATTATGTATATATTTACATATACTGCATGTATAGACTGTAAGATACTGTGGGTAGATTGGAATTATACTGCATGTATAGACTGTAAGATACTGTGGGTAGATTAGAACTAGATGTGTGTATAATCCGTATTATGTATATTATATATATACATATACTGTATCCGATTAGACCTTTAATATGGTCAGCAAACCTGGCCATGTATTTAGGGTTATAATCATGGATTAAGGAAAACAAGGATTCAATCATTATTTTTTAATAATTATTACGATGAAATACAATTACAAATCTCCATATATGTAAATTTAACAATCAGTATTGCTAGCTGTGATCAAAGTACAACTATTTCATAATTTTACAGTATTTAATGTTCTTTATTGTTATACTTGTAAAATAGAATTTTAACTTTTATTTTATCATATTTATTTATTTTTGTGTTTTTCCAGATGTTTTATTGTATATATTTCTAAGTAAAATATTACCCTCCCCCCCCCCCTAGCTTTCTAGATCATTCATTTTAGTGTGAATACTGAATACTGACCATAGCAGAGAAAAAGTTTATTTGATCAAACTTCTCTTCTCTATTATAAAATCTGATTTGTACATTAAGACCCAGAAACTGTGAAGTAGTAAGACGATATTTTGGAAATATTTTGTGTATTTGATGTTCTTAAAAAGTACAGTTAAACCCTTCATAAAGAATACATCGGAAGAATTTATCAAATGTTGTCTTGACAATTTTTTTATACTATATTACGTCAATTTCAGTAATTGCGAAAATACATAAATAGCCATGAATATGCGGGAACAGTTTTAAAGAGTTCCATATAATCACTTAATTAAAAAACTAAATTTCTGCAACATTCCATTATCAGAAAGTGAAGAATACGACATTTGATGAATTCTTCCGATTCGTTTTTTTCTGTAAACGATCGTATCAGAAAAAAACGATGTGTCACAACGAACGAACCATGCTCGTTTTGAACTTTAAAAAAACGGAAAACTAAAAAACGATATGATCGTTTTTTTAGAAATGTTTCGCTCATGAATCTGAGTTTTAAGAAAATATTAATATTCTGTTTTTTTCATGAATGTTGTTTTAAATGGGTTTTTATAGAAAAAAATGGATATTTTCTGACCTACTTTTACGTAGAATTTCAACAACGATCGTTTTTAAAAACGTACGTTTCGTTTTCAGGATTTTCCTCGTCGTTTTTAAAACGTAACAATCGTTAATCAAAAAAGTGCAAATTATCCATCTTTAGTGTTTATGTGTACTGCATTGAATTAGGTTTCATGATGTCATGATGTTTTAAGATCATAACTGATTTAATGCAGGGGTCCAACTAATTCCTTTTTCAATCCCATTTGGGATTGACAAATTTGAGAGAAATGGGGCCAAATTTTTTTAAATGATAATTTAAAAAAAAAAATTTGAAATTTGAAAATGTTTTTCAATTGGGGGCATTTTTTTATGATTGGGGGCAAATGGAGGCAAATGTGTTAGTGGAATTTGAAATTTTATTTTAATTGGGGGCATTTTTTTAAATTTGGGACAAATGGGGGCAAATGTGTTAGTGGAATTTGAAAATTTTTGTAATTTTGGGCATTTTTTATAATTGGGGGCATTTATTTCCCAATTGGGGGGAAATGTGTGAATGGAATTTAAAAATGTTTTTTTTAAATTGGGGGCATTTTTTTTAAATTGGGGGCAATGGGGGCAAATGTGTTAGTGGAATATAAAAATGTTTTGTAATTTGGGGCATTTTTTTATAATTGGGGGCAATTTTTCCCCAATTTGGGGCAAATGTGTTAGTGGAATTTGAAAATGTTTTTTTTAAATGTGGGCTTTTTTTGTAATTGGGGGCATTTTTTATAATTGGGGGCAAATGGGTGAAAATGTGTTAGTGGAATTTGAAATGTTATTTTAATTTGGGGCATTTTTTTTAAGTTGGGGGCAAATGGGCGCAAATGTGTAAGTGAAATTTGAAAATGTTTTTTTTAATTGGGGACATTTTTTTTAAATTGGGGGCAATGGGGCAAACGTGTTAGTGGAATTTGAAATTATTTTTTAATTGGGGGCCTTTTTAATTTGGGGCATTTTTTTAAGTTGGGGGAAAATGGGGTGCTAGTGGAATTTGAAAAAAATGTTTGTAATTGGGAGAATTTTTTTTTTTTAATTTAGGGCAATGCCCCAAATGTGTTAGCGGAATTTGAAAACAATGTTTTTAATTGGGGCATTTTTTAAAATTGGGGGCAATGGGATCAAATGTTTAGTGGAATTAAAAATGTTTTTTAAATGGGGGCATTTTTTTTTTAAAGTTGGGGGCAATAAATTATTTTGGGATCGAGAAAATCAGCTATTTTGGGAATTATATGGACCCCTGATATAATGTCCTAGATTATTAAACTCTAGGACATATCAATAGATATTTGAGTTAAAGCTAAGATTTAAAAAAACCGAACATTCATAAATAAAAGACAAAATCATAAGGTATGGAAATGCTCGTTTACCCTTTTTATTTCCTTCTTCCGCTTTTTTCATTTACTTTTCTTCAGATAATGTGCCCTCTTTTCAGATAATGTGCCCTCTTTTCAGATAATGTGCCCTCTTTTCAGATAATGTGCCCTCTTTTCAGATAATGTGCCCTCTGTTCAGATAATGTGCCCTCTTTTCAGATAATGTGCCCTCTTTTCAGATAATGTGCCCTCTGTTCAGATAATGTGCCCTCTTTTTAGATAATGTGCCCTCTTTTCAGATAATGTGCCCTCTTTTCAGATAATGTTCCCTCTGTTCAGATAATGTGCCCTCTATTCAGATAATGTGCCCTCTTTTCAGATAATGAGTCCTCTTTTCAGATAATGTGCCCTCTGTTCAGATAATGTGCCCTCTGTTCAGATAATGTGCCCTCCTTTTCAGATAATGTGCCCTCTGTTCACATAATGTGCCCTCTTTTCAAATAATGTGCCCTCTTTTCAGATAATGTGCCCTCTTTTCAGATAATGTGCCCTCTTTTCAGATAATGTGCCCTCCTTTTCAGATAATGTGCCCTCTGTTCATAATGTGCCCTCTTTTCAAATAATGTGCCCTCTTTTCAGATAATGTGCCCTCTGTTCAGATAATGTGCCCTCTGTTCAGATAATGTGCCCTCCTTTTCAGATAATGTGCCATCTTTTCTGATAATGTGCTCTCCCCTTTTCAGACACACCAACTTGTAAAACTTACAGTTAAACACTAAATGAGCCATACATCGAAAGAATTTATGAAATGTCGTCTTGACAATTTTTCAATGGGGTTTATACTGTTTTACGTAAATTTCAGTATTTGCGAAAATAGCCATGAACATGCAGGAACAGTTTTAAAGTCCTCCATTTAATCATATAATTAAAAAACTAATTATCTGCAACATTACATTATCAGAAAGTGAAGAATACGACATTTGACGATTTTTTTCGATGTATTTATGTATGTACAAAAACCTGGAATCAAAAAGAATTTAAGAAAAAATAACAGTGTAAGTTGGAATCACAAAATAAGACAAAAAGTAAATTTATATACAGGGTGTCCCACGAAACATGACAGTTGGTTAATAGTTTAGAATTTCTTCTTCCATAATTTGTTACGTAAGTTGTTTGATACCCAAGATAATAAAACATATACTATATGGGAGGCATGTTATTGTAAAATTGGTTTCAAAATAAAATATGTTTCAAAAAAGTAATTTTTTTATTAAAATAAACTGCAAAAAGCCTTTAATATCTAATACAGTATAAGAAAGACGACTTTCATAATTATTTACCAACTGTGATGTTTCACGGGACACCCTATATATGAGGTTCAAATAATATGTTTCGTGGGACACCCTGTATATGAGGTTCAAATAATATGTTTCGTGGGACACCCTGTATATGAGGTTCAAATAATATGTCGATCGCATTTCCTTTACTTTTGTTTTCTAACTTCAATTATAAACCTAAATCACATCAATTTCTCCATTGGAGGTGTGCAAATATTTGCATATCAGAAGAATACGCCCAATTTTTATCGATATTTTGAAATTCAAAATTGATTCATAATTTTTGATGATCATCAGGAGGGATTTTTTTCTAAAATTATATATAGAGAAAATTCAACATATAATCTTTGAAATCCGAAAATGCCAGGAAACAATATTGTTTATTTAAACATAGATTAATATTCATCATCTCTTTTGGTTTTATAAAATAATTATTTGAGTTTTATAAAACCTCTGTCGTCTTTACACTTTCAGAAGTTGAAATATATGTATTTATTAATCTTTTCAAGTTTATCGGACTTAATTAGATTTGTTCTGTTCATTGTGTACAATAAAATGCATTAATCATGGAGAATCACATACAAATCTGTACTACAGCGGACAGCCCCTTTAAGGGGAATTGTCCCTCCCCCCCCCCCCCCACCTTCAATCTGTTTGTCTGTCATCTGCTAATAAAAGGAAAGCAAGGATAGCAGGTGTATGTGGGGGGGGGGCGTTGTGAGTGTTTGAAATTTAATTTCTTAGTTTCACGCACCCAAGCAACTAACACACTACTGAGCCTTCATCTTAATTTTTAAAAAACTCATATTTTTTAATTTGTATAATGTGATTGTATCTGAAAGTCGGTAACTGAAGGAAAATTAAGGCAAGTGCTTCATTTCTAAAAACCAGTTTGTCGACATGAAATTCTGCAATTAATTTTTATTGAGAAATTACTATAAATGATCCAATTTTAAATTTTCAAAGAATTCAGAAAATTCTTTTAAGGGTACCGTTGTGAATGATGGGTCACTTGAAACATTTGAAAAAAATGTAGTCCGTCCATTTTCTGAGTTTACAAGAATCATGATGACTCCACTTTAAAAAATCCCGTTAAAAAAATTGCAAATCAATGTTAAAAAAAAATAAAACTTACAAAGCTTGAAAAATTAAGAAAGGTTAAATTTGTCAAAGAAATTAAGCTGCTCGATCAAATATGCATTTTCTGCTCTCTGGAATGCTACATGTTATCTTGTTTTGTTGTTTCTTTAGGGGTCAACTCTTAGAGTTCTTGGAGTATATTCAGACTTGAAAGAAAAGCTTCAAAGAGATAATCTTGAATTTGTTCAAGTATTGTTGGTTATATTTAACACAACCCTCAAAGTTTGGGACCAAAAAAAGAAAGTATCGGCCATCTTTAAGCACTGCACTGCACACTAGTAAAACAAGCTAATTTAGTACTATAGCTCAAGCACTGCACTGCACACTAGTAAAACAGGCTAATTTAGTACTATTAGTCTAAACATTTCGCCCATTCATCATTTGTTCACATGTTGCAAGCTTAAAAGTAAATATCACAGAACAACGTAGTAGGGGTCACTTGTAAACAATTAAGGTGTTTTTTTTTGCCTCAAACTCAAATTGCCTTATCCATATATCTTTGTAACCTGATGGTGTAAAAGTTTGGTATTTCAAACATAGATAATTTGATCTAACAGAATTCATAAAAAAATCAGTTTATATTTTTAATTAAATAAGAATAGAGTTTTTGCCTCAAACTCAAATATTTCTAATCCCTCATCTTTGCAACCAGGTGGTTTAACCCTTTGATATTTTAAACTTATATATGTATTTGACCTAAAAGAGTTGAAGACTAATTTTTAAAATTCGTGATGGTGATTGACCAAACCTCTGTAGAGTAAAAAAGTAGATGTTAGTTCCTCATTTATTGAAAATATATTTCGGTCTGGGTTGACCCTCGTCAGTTCTAACGATATGATAACCATCAAAATCGATATAAAAATTTTTTTTTTTATTTGGTTAAAATTCACAAGAAAATAATTTAATAAACAAATAAAAAAGATTTTTCAAAATGAAAAATTTGGTCTGTCAAATGGACATTCTTTTTTAAATCTCTCTCAATATTGGTGTAATTACGGAATTAAAAAAGGAAAAAATTAATTCTTACACCCCAAAAGGGTAGAATTATGTATTTTGTTTCAAATGAAAAATTATATTGCAAAAAAATATAATTTATGCCGCGAATTTAAGAAATAAGACATGGTTTAAATGTACTAAGAGAACTTGTAACTTATTATCTGATTACTCGACACGAACTCTGATTTTCCTAATCTTAATTTTAGTTTTAGCATTCAGATATATGTAATAGACATTTGATATTTTAAACTATGAATTGTGTTAGATAAAATAGTCAAAGTTTACAAGACCAAATGTTTTATTGGGTTAATCCACCAGGTTGTAAATCTATCTGGAATGGAAAATTAATGTTCGATTTGAGTAATTAATTTATTAAGGTACAAAAAAAATTGTATTACTAAAATGTGTACTTTTTTATTCCTGATGCATTTTGAATTGCATCATTAAATGCATCAATGGTTTGCCTGGTATATATATATATATATATATATATAAATTGCACACTTAGGTTCCTACTATACATTGCTCTTTGATTTGACGAATCAAACATTGCTGCAAAAATGCTGCAAATCTAAAATTTCTCAATTTAAAGTTCAAACGAAATTCAAATAGACGGCTGATTAAAAGGTGAATATACTTAATGTTAATCCCTGTCAACGTAATCTAAAACATATGTGAGAAGCAATCAACAATTTGTTTTAAATCTTTTATAGACTACAATTTATTAAACAATCCACCATCAAAATTCAAACAAAATTTTAAAGAAACTGAGTTTTTGCCACAAACTAAAATGTGCTAAACTAAACAACTAGATGGTGCATGTCATTGTCCACCTTTGTCATTTTAAACTTAGATCCACTGATTTTGTAGAATGAAATTGCCAGTCCACGACATTTGGTTGCAAAGAGTTTTATACAACGTGTCAAAATCGTTGGCCTTAAAAGAATGAATTCAATTTTGTTTCTTATTTAGATGAATTAATTTTAAACTTTGTTTTCAAACTTTAATCCCTTTTCACTTGTTTCTTCAAATAATGTAAAATTAAAACAATTAGATTTCTGAAAATGTTCAAGGCACATTTTAAATCACAACAACAATTCGTTTTACAAAAAAACAATCGGAAAGGAATTGAGATTTTGTCACAAACAAATTTTTATATCTTTACAACCTTATGGTTTGTTCTAACAGAATTCATGGTCTGAAGTATCAAAAGTCTAGGTTGCATAAATATAGGGATTAGAAAAGCAGAGCTTGTGGCAAAAACTATGTTCTAAGATTTATCTAAGGTTGATAATCCAAGTAAATAATCAGTTGGTTGATCTAAGGTTAATAATTCAAGTGAAGAGTCAATTGGTTGATCTAAGGTTGATAATCCCAGTGAAGAGTCAATTGGTTGATCTAAGGTTGATAATCCCAGTGAAGAGTCAATTGGATGATCTAAGGTTGAAAATCCCAGTGGAGAGTCAATTTGTTGATCTAAGGTTGATAATCCCAGTGAAGAGTCAATTGGTTTATCTAAGGTTGATAATCCCAGTAAATAGTCAATTGAATGATCTACCGTTGATAATTCCAGTGAAGAGTCAATTGGTTGATCTAAGGTTGATAATCCCAGTGAAGAGTCAATTGTTTGATCTAAGATTGATAATCCCAGTGAAGAGTCAATTGGTTGATCTAAGGTTCATAATCCCAGGGAAGAGTCAATTGGTTGATCTAAGGTTCATAATCCCATTAAATAGTCAATTGGTTGATCCAAGGTTGATAATCCCAGTAAATAGTCAATTGGTTGATCTACGGTTGATAATCCCAGTGAATAGTCAATTGGTTCATCTAAGGTTGATAATCCCAGTGAAGGGTTGATAGGTGCTCGAAAGCTGGTTGATATCCTTACTTTTGACTACGCTTCCATAGCCATAAACTCGAAAACATCTAACCTCTAATCTAATCTGTAATAAATTACCGGTATTAATCATGGACATGGGTAACAAAATTTTAATGTAGTAAAATTGTTATAATATTTGATAAACAAAACTTACTAGTATTAGGTAGGTAGGGAAAATGAGGAGTCGATTTGTGACTTCTGAAAAATAAATACCCGGTTGGTTACAAAAATTATTGTTTACAGCGATAATCACGAATTTTAAGCATTTCTATATTCAAAACTTGTTTTCATTTTTCATGGATTTAGCGTCTATTGATAGAGGAGGTTGGGTTTAGTTTCGGCTCTGGGAGGGGGGGGGGGGATGGCTTTTTGCTTTCAAGATGAAATCTATTGAAGAAAGGTTTCAATATGATTTATGGTCTACAATATTGTAATATTTTAGATGTCTCTGGGCAGTGTATCGGAAGTGGAATTGAAAGGTGAAGGCATGCTGCCATTTTTCATTGCAAGGTAAGCTAGTTTTTTTAAAACCAAAAATAATGATTTTAATATGTAGTAAATTCGAATTTTTTTACTCTTGAAAAAGACTGTCAGCGAACTTCCTTTCGAGGATATCAATAAATCATATCAAAAAGTGTGGAAGATAGTGTTGTTTTTCTGTGACCTTCTTGTAAACAACACATACGCAAGCTATTTTAACAGAGAACCCGCAAATGAAATAAACAGTATAAATACAGATAAGCATACGAAGATGATCACTGATCAGCTAAAGCTATTAAGGGTACCGTAGTAGATCAGGCATTGTCATCCTTGCATGGACCATGTAGTCTCACACACGTGGATTTAATGGTTCTGTCAATGTTCCAGAAAGCTGTGACTTTTGACCACAATTTGACCCATTAAACATGATTGTTTAGCCTTTTTTCTAAATATTTTTTGTCGGCACATGCATTTTGAATGAAAAAGTACAGAATGGATAAATCCGTAAAGTAAATGATGGTTAAATTTTGATTTCAAATAGAAGAAACCGATTGCTGTTCACTCTGGTTAGCTAGTCCGGGGTTTCTCTTAATCCTCAAAAAAAGTTCTAAGACTATATTCAAGGCTGAGGACTAAGGAATCAAGTCATTGCAACAAACTCTAATCCTCTAATCCCTATATCTTTGCAACCAAATGTCGTAAACCTTAGATATCTAAAACTATTGAGTCTTCTGGATCAAATAATCTTAGTTTGAAATACCAAAGATTTACACCATCATGTTGCAAAGATATAGGGATTAGAACATTTAAATTTTGTTTTAAAGGGAGTGACCGGCTATGTAAGGTAGTTGATCTGAGTATGCAGTGTTGTGAAAAGCTTCTTTCGGATTCATTTAAGACATATTAAACTTTTAAAGATCTGTAAATCCTGAGTTTGAGCGCAAATTCGATGTTCAAAACTGCTAATTTAGGTGTGGATACGCTTTCAGAAAATAGTTTTTTTAAATCATTAAATAACGACGACATAAAATGTAAAAAAGTTCTACAATAAACTACAGACGTCATGTATAGGAACATGTTGAGAAAATAAAAATTAATCTTATCATCGAAAATAAGTAATCTTGTTCAATTATTAGTTTCTATTATCTCATTATTTTGGTTTCTCATTATTTACAAAGATTTTCGCAGATTTCCTAGAATTATTATTGAAAAGACGACATTTGAAGAATTTGAAGAAATCTGCAAATAAATTCAAAGAAAATAAGAAATTCAATATAATTATGAAAACGAAATAATCGATTTTATCATTGATTTATTGACAAATTTCTGTAGAGAAATATGTTCCTGACCATCTAATTAGATTACTGTATAATTTCTACTTTATTTTTGGTTGTCGTTATTTAATAATTTAAAAAAAAAACAGTTTAATATGTCTCAAATGAATCCGAAAGAAGTTTTCCACATTACTGCATACTCAGTTAAACTACCTTACATAGCCGGTCACTCCCTTTAAGTTGTCTTTACAGTCTCATCTCTTGTGGGTTACTCTGTAACAATGTAGCACTGTCTTAAAGTTTTGACCTTTGTAAGAGGAAATTACGTATAATTATACAATATATTACAGGATAAAGGATAGAGATTACAATGAAAGAAATATTCTGCGTGCAGGACTTGATGTATCATTTAAGGTAAATCAGGATTTTATTGTAATTGACTTTTATAAAAAAAAACTTTATCTAAAGAACTGTTTTAACCAAAGTCTGCAAAGTCTTACGCAAAAATAAATCTAAGGTTGGCCAATTTAGTTCAAGTGCGTTTCAATAATACAATGTAGAAGTCCACAAAAAAAGTATTATTGGATTCGTTAACTTGAAACCAGTTTTAGTTTATTTACAACACATACTGTTATAAACTTTTTTTTAAAGATATCTTATTTACTGATAAAAACTTACAATATGCTAGAGCATACGTGACAAGAAAAGAGAAATGAGACTACTTTATCAAATCATTAAACAGTTTAAAAGAAAAAAACAGTTCTACATAAAAGACATAAGTCGAATTCCAGAGAATTTTTCAGGGTCTGGATACAAATCAGTAAATTTCAGGGTCAGGGGTATATGCCTTGCAATCTTGGGAAATATATTTTTTTTTAATTGCTCAAACGTTTTAGCAGAAATGGCTTTCATTTTTGTTAAAGAAAGAAAAATATTTTAAAAATTTCACTCCCGTAGGCAAATCCGAAATTTATTAAAAGTTCATAGTATGTTGACAAGTCGATATGTAGAAATGTAGAAAATGTTCAGAATGTTCCTTCTCTAGTGTGTGCAGTGCATTTGTCTTGGCTTTTCCTATTCTGACGTCATACTTTAATTAACATTCTTTCTTTGCAGATTTATGCAACTTTTTATTTGCCATAAATCCACAAAATTGTTCATGTCTTTAATATTATTTAGTTTATTATTTTTCAGATGTGTTATGTACTATTATTTTGAAATCTTCGTGAATTTATGACTAAATGCAAAATTATGGATGTTTACGTTTTCATTTTTTTTGTAAAACGATCGTTTCGTTATGAAAACGGCGACAAAGAAACAAAAACGAAACGACTGTTTTTTAAAAACTATCGTTTTTTAAAAAGTTTGTTCTTAAAACGGTAGTTTTTCAAAATTATCATTTTTATAAAGCTCGTCGCTTCGTTGGCGATCTTTAACGACAAACCTTCGTTAACAAAGAGAGGAGGAGAGAGGAAAACGCTCTGAAGGGTATTGGTACTTATCGTTATCATTGATTTAAAGAAAATAATCAATAAAGTTGCATGCAATTATTTTTCAAAAACGATCGTTTTTTCAAAAACATCAGTTTTTCATAAAGTTCGTCGTTTCGTTAACGATCTTTTACGACAACCCTTCATTAACAATCGTTGACGACAATCCTTGGTTACCGATCGTAAACATATTTATCAATGACAATTTTTTTCAAAAACGATTATTATTCGTTTTCTAAAAGCTTTCAAAACGAGGGGGTCGTTTTTAAAAACGATCGTTTTTGAAAACGATCTAAAAATGAAACAAAAACTATCGTTTAACGATCGTTTTCAAAACGATTAACAACCCTATTTAACAATTGGCAAAAAATAGTAGTTACATAACATACTGAAATATATTAATGTTTACTAAAGGCCCTTTTCAAACATTTTAGCTTTTAACTGTTTCGTTTTTATCCACTTTATTCGTACTTGATAAATGAATAAACCTAATTTTTCTGCCAAGGGGCCACTATCATCATACCATGGTATATTTTTTGCAAAATTCTGCGATACATTTTTTTGACCTCTTGTCTTTCTTTAAAAAAAATGTTCTTTTTTTACAGAAGTTTGAGAGAGAATTTGATGATTCTGATCTGACAGTTTTCTGCGCTGCCGAGGGTAGACTTAAACACGATAAATCAAACAAATCAATCATTATATTCAGCAGGTTAATTTAATACTATTTATAAATCAAAATATAAAAAGGTTTTTTATACATTTTAGAAATCAAAGAAATCAAACATTTTGTGCACAGCAGGTTGCTAAATACAATTGATAAATAAAAATTCAATTATTTGGATTAAAAATCTAAATATTTAGAATTCAATTATTTGGATTAAAAATCTAAATATTTAGGATGAGAAAAGTAAATTCATTTAAACAATTTACAAAAGTCTAAACAATTAAATGCTCTATTGATAGGGTAAGGGAAAAGGTCATAACTTAGGCAGTCTAAAACAATACTTAAGCTTGTCTAAAGCTGTGTTTGGATTACAGAAAAGCATAAGTTGTGTTGCGTTGCTGGAGTAGGAATGTAGATGTTGATATACCAAGTTTTATGTTACTGTTACGAAGCTCTACAAAAATGTAAGACGTTTCTTATTTTTAAAAGTTGTAAACCTTTTTTCTTTGCGTTCATTACATTGTGAAAAATATTCATTCGAACACACACAGATATAAATCAAAATTGCATTCATTTTCTTACGTCAGAAAACTCTGAAATAGGAAGACGACTTTTAAAATCAAGTTCTAACTTTTAAAAGTCCAATTAGTATCGAGTAAAATATTTTTCTGTCTACAATATCCAAAAATACTTAATTATTGATAAAATGTCGTCTTCCTTTTATATTGTGTTAAAAAGTTGCAGAATGCAATAAAAGCAAACTTATAGAGAAAATCTTTTGGATAAATAAAAACATCTTAAACATCTTGAGGAGCCCTTGGAATAATAAAAAAAACCTATAATATACGAAAACCATAAAACAAGGCCTTTCTACTTTTAAGGAGCAGAATCAAATCTAACTAAATTCCATTTTATTTGCAACTTGGTGGGGGTTAAACTTAATTCAAGGGGTAGGGGTAATTCGTATTTACGCCACTGTTAGCATTCCTGCAATCATAAGCCTAACAAAATTATTTTAAATAAACCCCCATATTGAAGAAAATACGTGTTTTTGTTTAATTTCAGTTCAAGAGCTCAGTTTAAAAACTGCAACTCTTCCTCGAAGGTTAAAATGAAAAGAATGAAATGTTTGCAGTTTGTCCAGTTAATCCAGTAAACATCATTAATTTCCTCATATCTCAACACTAGAGCAGTTTTAAGCACAGGAGAACTCAAATCCAAAAGGTCGATTTTTTCTGTTACGCCCTTGGGACCTCGTAGCTCTTTTTAATTGAAGGCCCAATAATGCGAAGACCTTATTTATTTGATATCATGTATACATTTTTCAACTTCAGGCAAAGTTAAGAGTAAAATATGAAGATTTTTTTTTAGAAAAATAAACAATATTTGACAAATAAACACCCGTTTAGATAGACCTGCCTTGAAACAATAAGCTGTGCAAAATATTTAGAGATTATAAAGGATGTAAAAAGTTTGCAAATATGCTTTCTAGTCATGATAAATTCACAAATATATATGCATTTACAAACAGAAAGTCTTAAGGTAACTAACGATAACTAAAAAAAAATTACAAATAGAAAGTTTTAAAAAAATTAAAAATGGCCGTAAAACAATTGAGTCTTTGCCACCAACTCTGATTTTCTAATCACTATATCTTTGCAACCCAATGCAACATCATTAGGTTGCAAATATAAAGGGATTAAACAATTTGAGTTCTTAGTTCCTTTGGGTTGAAATTTCAAAATTAACAAAGGAGCTGATTTTCTCAAACCTACATCTTTGCAACCTCATGAGACACACTTATGATATTTCAACCCTAGACCATTGGATTTAACAGAATAGTTTGAAATATCAAAGGTCTACGACATTGGATTGCAAAGATATAGGGACGGACAAATTTGAGTTCCTTTTCCATCTTTTTCAAAACATGAAGAATGATGATAATCAATCAACATCTATTTCAGAAAATATATATCTTATAGTTTATCAAATGTTAGTATTGGCCAAGAAATATAAAGACCAGGAACCGCCATATCTCATGCGTCAAATCTGTCTACTGCAGTGGGAGGAGATCAAAACAAAGAATTCAGGGGCAACGCATCATTTTTGAGGGAAAAGGACCCAAGGGGTGGAATTAGAATATATTGCTATTGTATTTTCCATATTGACCAGAAAGCTAAAAATCATATGTATTCGCTCAAACTATTAACATGTTTTTTGTTGGACTGTAATATCACATCAGAACTGTAGTCCGTTCCCTTCAACTTCTGTGGGGGCACTGGGTTTGTTTACTTTCCTCCGACAGTACAGTACATAACATGCGTAATGCGTATATCTGAGTTGGGCGTTCCTGTATATAGTTCCTTGGTATTGGTAATCATTTCGGCAGTAATCATTGAAAGTTCTTGTCGAATATATCAATACACTGTAGTTAACTTTCGATTCTAATTTTGATTTCAGGCTTTTAAACAGCATGGATACACATAAACATGGAATCAAAGAGAAGCATCACTATAATTACTTGTAAACTTGTAATTTGAAAAAAGCTTGTAAGCAATCAAAAGTTGTCGTCTTTGTATTGATTTAATCGCCTACCAAGGTATTTAAATTATCATTTGATTATATTACATGAATATTTATATTATTATGATTTATTTGTCGATATTGGATATTTAATTAGAAATTAGATATGATTACAAGGCTTTACCTTCTTTCAAAAGGCAGGTTTTTTTGTTGCCCTCTGTTTTGAATTTCATGTATCCAGCTAAGTTATTTTTTATCATACTTGTGCGTAAGATACAAATTACAGGTGCTACGTTGCTTCAAAGCCGTAACAGTTCTGTCGCATAGATTTGACATTTTTCTACTCTCTAATTGCAGTGTGGTCACATTGAAATTAAGTTAATTCCATGTGACACCCCCCCCCCCATGCGAAGATGGCAAAGACCGATTTACAATGGTACCCATAAAAGGTTTTTCTGATCTAGTATGAAATGAAAACCAATTTTTTTTCTAAATTTATTTTTAATTGTTCATTTTCATTTGCGGTTTCTCTAGATGATTAAACTTTTTTTCGAGTCAGAAAAACGACGATTTCCTCCACATTTTTGATCAGATGACGGTGTCAATGGTACCATGCATTGTATATATCGGGCATTGCCGCCATCTTAGCATAAAGGGTCCCTTAAAAATTTCGCTAACAGTCCCTTTTTGTTCTAGTCCTGGGCCTGCGCACAAGATCACGTATGGAATCTTGAAAGAAAAGTTTCCTGACTACTCATCAATTATCTGGAGAGATGGATAATAAGACCAAAATGTTCAAATTCACTTTTTATTTCTATCATGAATAAGTTCATTAATCAACTTATTACTCAAATTTTCTTATTCTCATCATCCTCATACCCAATGCATTGTTTTTCAACCTCTTACTTCTGTTTAATCAAATTATCAAAGTTTAAAAGGTTTTCACAATTACAAAATATATAAAAATTAAAGTTTGAGGCAGGTAAATAGTTCACGTCTTGGTTACTGCACGCTCAAGTTTAGAAGAAAAAAATTTTGATTCAATATTTTGTTTCAGTAAATGATTGATTAATGTTCGCGTAACCCTGCTTTACATCATGCTAAAAAAGTTTGACTAATAACTTTAATATTTGTATCAAAACCATAACTCTTAATGCAGAAGTTATTTTTAATAAAATATGTATTTTTACGAGCTTGTTTTTATTTAAACTCGAAGTCATGATTTTTGAATAATAAATTTTGTAAATAAAGATTTATTTTATTAAACATACTAATTTATGCAGTCAGGCCCTTAAAAAAGGGCCTGAACAAATTTATTTTAATTTGAGCGGCGTCTCAAATCCGCCAAAAACCGGCTTCAATCATAACCCTCAAGTAATATTAAAAAAACAGCTGGCGTAGGTCCGATATTGCAGTAGGTCGGATAAATAGTAGGTCAGAAGTTCAGATAGGGAAAATGTTGCGTATAGACGAATATTATTATATTTCTAATTGAATCCACGAAAATGATGAAATTAATCTGTCACTTCTATGTTTATTTAACATTTTCTGGAATTATTATTAATTTCAAATAAAAACAAAAATTTCATTCAATTTAATCAACAGTTTGAAAAGAAATGACAGGTTCTAGACTTACTGGGTGATTCATTATACGCTAGAGGGTCTTTTCAGATATTTGATGATTCCAATTATGTTTTTTTTTCTAAGAGACGGAACATAACAATTCACAGAATAAATTCATCTAGCACAATAATTAAGGTTTCTGCTTTTTTCAAATTGTTTTAAGATTATTTTGAAAAATTATGTTAAAAATTCAAACTCTTTTCAGAAATAAGTCTGCCATATTTTCAGTTTAAAAGTGTTTCTGTAAAACCTGAATTTTAACTATAAAATCTCTGTTCAATAATTGAAACTCCACCTGACTTCACAAAAGCTGGAAACTAGATTTTTTTTAATGTTTCAACTCAAAGATATAATCGGTCTGATGACGCACAATTGGGACACACTTTTGGGTGCACTATTGAGGATGCACTATTGGTAGGCATCATTGAGTACGAACACTTTGAAGGACACTATTGGGACACACTATTAGGACGCACTATTGAGGACGCACTATAGGACGCACTATTGGGACACGCTATAGAGGATGCTATATTGAGATTGCAATATTGAGGACGCATTATTGGGGACCACTTTTAAGGACGCAGTTACAAGACGCACTATTCATGACGCACTATTCAGAATGCACCATATAGGACGCACTATTGAGGACGCACTATTGTGGACGCAATATTGAGGACTCACTTCTGAGGACGCAATATTGGGGCGCGCTATTGACGATGCAATATTGAGATTGCAATTTTGAGGACGCACTATTGGGACGCGCTATTGACGATGCAATATTGAGATTACAATTTTGTCGACCCACTATTGGGGACCACTTTTAAGGACGCAGTTACAAGACGCACTATTCATGACGCACTATTCATGTTGCACTATTGAGGAAGCACTATTGTGGACGCACTATTGAGGACTCACTTTTGAGGACGCACTATTGAGGACGCACTAATGAGGACGCACTATTTGGGACAAAGATAGAGAACAGACTTTTTAGGATTCAGGTACTGGACAAACTATTTAGGACGCACTATTCAGAATGCACTATTCAGAATGCACTATTCAGAATGCACTATTCAGAATGCACTATTCAGAATGCACTATTGAGGACGCACTATCGGGAAGCACTATTGGGACGCACTTGTAAGGACGCAGACACAGAAAAGAAATATGAACACACAATTGAGGACACAGATAGATGACGCACTATTGGGGCGCAATATAGAGGACACACATACATGTTTAAAAACATTCGATATCGTAGCTAAACATGTAGAAAAGTAAACGAGACTTAGATTAGAGGTTTGTTGACAATGTAGAAAAAGAAAGTTTTGAGGAATTTAAAAATATTTCCCGTTGTTGTGAATTAGAAAAGATCTAGTTCTGACTTGTCACACGTTCAAAAACTAGAAAATTCCATTAAATATTTGTTACTCACTTTTTACATAAAGTTCTCGGCAAGTCAAGTAAAGCAGGGAAAGAATCGCAGATTAAGGTTTCGAAAATTAACGAAAAATGCCGTTAATGAACGGAAAGCACTATTTCAAATTATGATCTTTATAGTAGACCCCAATCAGTACCCCAAGAAGGAATGGGTATATATGGGCCTTCTATTCCAAAATTAAACCTATAGCCTAAAAGAAAAAAAATAACATTGCAAAACATTTTAAACAGAAAGAACCTGTCAAATCATTCGTTGGGATGTTTAGAAAGATGAAAATTTCCCTGTATGATAATTGAAGAACTGCAGTATGGTTTTGGTGAATTATATTGACGTACTAAGCCTAGGGGTGTCAGAAATGATTTTTTTTGCATTTTTTGAAAACGTCCAATAATCCTAAAAAAGTTTAATTTTGATAAATAATTATCATACAGGGAAATTTTCATCTTTCTAAACATCCCAACGAATGATTTGACAGATTCTTTAGCCTATTTTCATTTAAGTGAATCATCTGAACTCTCTGAACAGTTTAAACGTTTTCTATTCTGTTATTAAATACATTAAAGTCTGTAAAATCAAGTTGTGTGTTGACCACAGACCCTGACACTGCAGACATACTGAAACGTCAAATAATTCGTCGGTAAAACACTTTAATGTTCGGCCTCTAACTTGTAATTGAGATGTTTCTCAAATATTCTGCATGTTTACAACAGGTTCAACATAAAATAAACTAGAAAGCCGTTAAATAGCATTTTAAAACAATTTAGAAATATATTAGTTTGGAAAATTATTTTAAGTTTTTTAAGTGAAAAATACTTTTTGCAAGAGACAACTAAAATAAGAACATAAGACGAGAACTAGACATTAATAAGATAAGCAAGCATTTTTACAACTACACAAATAGACACCTAGACATCAAAATGCGCAGAGAACTGCAGAAATGATTTTTTTTATAGACAGATGACAAAATAGACAAATAGGACATAGGACAACTAGACTATTAAACTACTATGTCAACCCTAAAAACTAAATAAGACAACTAGACTATTTAACTACTATGTCAACCCTAAAAACTAAATAAGACAACTAGACTATTTAACTACTATGTCAACCCTAAAAACTAAATAAGACAACTAGACTATTTAACTACTATGTCAACCCTAAAAACTAAATAAGACAACTAGACTATTTAACTACTATGTCAACCCTAAAAACTAAATAAGACAACTAGACTATTTAACTACTATGTCAACCCTAAAAACTAAATAAGACAACTAGACTATTTAACTACTATGTCAACCCTAAAAACTAAATAAGACAACTAGACTATTTAACTACTATGTCAACCCTAAAAACTAAATAAGACAACTAGACTATTTAACTACTATGTCAACCCTAAAAACTAAATAAGACAACTAGACTATTTAACTACTATGTCAACCCTAAAAACTAAATAAGACAACTAGACTATTTAACTACTATGTCAACCCTAAAAACTAAATAAGACAACTAGACTATTTAACTACTATGTCAACCCTAAAAACTAAATAAGACAACTAGACTATTTAACTACTATGTCAACCCTAAAAACTAAATAAGACAAATAAACAGCTTAATGATTCAATAAAATTCAAATACAGGGTGTCCCTCGAAACATGAAAGTTGGTGAATAGTTTTGAATGTCTTCTTCCACATACTGTATTAGATATTAAAGACTATTTGCAGTTTATTTCTTTTTAAATGTTTAACTCATATATATTTTAATGTGAAATCAATTTTACTACAGTGAACCCCTTAATAACGAATACATCGGAAGAATTCATCAAATGTCGTCTTGACAATTTTCAATGAATTTTATACTTTATTACGTAAATTTCAGTATTTGAAAAAATAAATAAATAGCCATGAATATGTGGGAACAGTTTTAAAGAGTTCTATAAAATCATTTAATTAAAAAAACTAAATATCTGCAACATTCCATTATCAGAAAGTGAAGAATACGACATTTTATGAATTCTTTCGATGTATTCGTTATTAAGGGTTTCACTGTATAATATAACTGTCATGTAAAAATGTTATTAGTCTTTTAGTATCAAATTATGGAAGAAGACATTTTAAACTATTCACCATCTGTCATGTTTCGTGGTACCCTGTATCTGAAATGATAAAAAATAAACAATTTGACCAGAAAGTAATGACCCTAGTTTCCAACTATAAGCAGATATCTGTAAATTGTGTGTGCAGTCTCAAGATGACAAGATGAATGAGATTTAAATTGAAAATTTCAAGCAAAACAGTTTGAAATATATCAGAGTCAGAGATAATTAACCTTTTCCTCAGCCAGGCAAAAAGTTGCGAATTTTACAAGAAACAAATTTGCTGCTAATCAGTCAACATACATCAGAGCAGCTTAGCATTTCAAGAAAGAAAACATCATTTTCTATTTTATCGGTTTAATTCTTTTAATCTTGAAGTTTATGATAAAAACATATAATTTAAAAGCATTTTGGATATTTTTATTTTAAGTTATTTTAAGCCTAAAGCAGGGGGGGGGGGCCTGTATTTTTTTCGAATTTATTTAAGGGATTTTAAATAAAATTTTTTGGATTATATTAAAAATTTATAAAAGAAAAAGAACCCATGACGACATTTATTCTATCCTGTAGAAATACGCCAAATTAAGACGACATTTAACATATTTTTAGACCACGCTTGAATGCAGAATACAAATCTATATTAAGTGGTGGATACTTGTTTGAAGTACCGCCGTTTAAACTATTGTTCGCTTGAACTATTGTTCATTTGAACTACAGAAATGACGTCATATCCTGTAGTTCAAATCAACACATTACCTAGCACCCCCTTGTGAGTGAGGGAACCACTGGACGTCATGAGCCTACGCTATTCAGAAACGAGCCTACCAGATTCTTCTTTTTCGGAACGATGGGATCGTTCTTGATAGTTCCGTTCGTTCTTCTAAAAGAATGATCATCCTTCAAGAGTGACGCCCAGCCCATGTGGATTTAACGGTTCTAATATTCCAGAAAACTGTGACTTTCGATCACAATTTGACCCACTAAACAAAATTTTTAGCCTTTTTTCTTAAATACTTTTTTGTCGGCTTATACATTTTGAATGAAAAAGAAAAGATTAAAAAATCCGTAAGGTAAAAGATTGTTAAATTATAGAACAAATCACGTTTGATTTCAAATAGTAGAAACCGAATGCTGCTCATTTTGGTTAGTCCGGTGTGAGCCCGTGGCGGAGAAATGCAGGTTGGGAGCAACTGTTTTTCTGCAACTATGAGAATAAAAACTCATTGAGGAGTGTACCAAGAGGGACAGTAATCAGTATCGACAAAGGATCGGACAGGATGCGAGGTTCATCTGCCATCTGAGGCGGAAGATTTGCCAGAGAGCTTCATCTTTGGTTCTCATAAGTTTATAGTTGAAATATTAAGTTTATTTGTTATGTTGTAAATACAATTTTCATACACTACGCAGTCAAAGGCTTCAAGTTTTAATAGGTTAAAGTAGAATCAGGAAAAGCATATAGGACGTGAAGCTTACATTTAAGCAACCTCATTTGTATTATAAATATATAAAGTAATCTCTGTTTGTTTGTTTGTATGTCCGATCCTAACTCCGAAACATAATAACCAATTTGCCTAAATTTTTGAACTCTGGAGAACCACGGGAATGTTCTGAGATAGGATTAAAAGTTCTTAGTTGTAAAGGTCAATTCTTATAAGGGAAACTTTAAGTTTCAAGGTAAGTGCTGTTTTAAAAGAATGTTGTTACTAGTTGCTTGACTACCCAATTATGAAGTGAAATGGGTCTGAGGTCACTGCACATTCGCAGGACAATTCAAAATTATAATACAACTTTACATTTTTTAAAGCAAAAGAGTTCCAAGGTGAATGTTAGGTAAATCAAATTTAGGAAGAACTTACTGAACGTTTCCATACTGAATTTTCTTTCCTGAACGCATTTTGAAAAAACGTTTCTTTACACAACGTTTCCTTTCAAAAATTTCTTTACAAACGTTTCCTTACTGAATGTTTCTTCACAAAAAGTTTTGGAGTAGCAGGAATTGTTTTGTGGGAGGAAACGTTCTGTGTGAAAATATTTTGTATGTGCTCCAATCAAAGGTATAAATAACTGCTTTCTAGCTAGAGATCACTGACTTTACATAACTTTACACCTTCAGCCCTTGTAATAAATACCTCCTTTATGGTCTCCGGGGTCCAAATAAGATATTTATTTATTCTTCATATTTCTATATGTTCAGAATAATTTGATATCTGTTCCTCGGAGATAAAGGAGAATAATATCACATGACATTACGTCAGGAATTTCAGAATTATTTTCTTTACAATTTACAAATAATGGATGCCCTTGGCTGGAAGAAAATTTCAATTTTTCACAAAGCATCTGCAACTCTTTCAAGCTTTGTAAAAAAGCAATTTTGTCCCAATTGTAATATTAGATTAAATATAAATAAATATAAATATAAATATATAAATAAAGATATTAGAGAAATACTTGTTACTATTTCTAATGCAGTTAAATCTTCTTAAATGGAAATTATAATGAAAAGAGAAAAATTAAGTAACATGTTAGATTCACAATCGTACCATTTAAATCTTTGTCTGATCAAGTTAATTTAAATATTCTAATTTCTTTTATGAAAACTATATTCTTTTATTTTCTCTTCGTAGCTTGCGCTTTTTTTGGCTTTAAAACAATGAAGAAATTGTCAGAATTAAACAATAGGAAAATGATATTATCTACCATATTATTAATCAAAGAAATATTCTAAGGGTACCAGTGAGAATCGGGCGTGCATCTCTTTAATTGGAGGGTCAGTTAAATTCAAAACGACTGTCCTTTCAACTAAAACTTGTTGTTTAGAAATCAGAATTTGTATGGACTAAAATAAGAGTGCTAGCCATTTCTATTATATATTTTTTTAATAAAAATCATTAATGTTATAAAACTGTAATGCAAGCATTTTTATAATTAGTCTGACTTTTGACTATCTAAGTAAAATGCAAGGGTGGTTACTGGTTAAATTCTTTAAGTAAAAATTTTATACTATTTTACACATGTTTACATTTGGCACATTTTGATTATTCTGCACATTATTTATTAAAATTTTAAATGGGTGCAGAGATTCATTTTTTTGGCAACAGCTTGTCTTAAAGGGAGTGACTGGCTAGGTATGGTAGGTAAACTGAGAGTGCAGTATTTTGGAATAAAATTCAGGATTTAGTCATGGATAATTTAAAAAATCGAATCTATGAGCAAGCCCCCAGTAAAAACGTTTCATAAATATCAAAAATGAATCCTTTAATTAATTCCAAAATACTGTACTCTCAGTTCACTTACCATACCTAGCCAGTCACTCCCTTTAAATGAAAAATCATTGTCATCATTGCCCAATACTACTCGACAGTTATATAAAGAAGTTGAAACAAAATTTGAACAGAAAAATTTTAAATTCTGACTAATTAGTATTTAAAGATTTTGTTGTTCAACATTTTCTATAATTCAAAAAATTTAAAATTTACATTTCGAAGATTTTTTGCTTTCTGACTGGAAATTTTCAACTCGCCCCATCAATAAAATAAAAAAGGTTTTATAAAAACCAAAACTTATATCTCAATACACAATAATGTTACGTACAATTAAACAATTCAGTAAATATGGCTAAGTAAACAATTCAGTATATATGGCTAAATATTGTTAAAGTTTTTATGAAAATATGTTTTTGCAATTCTTGCTTCTTTTTAGTTGTAAAACTGTTTTCTGATATCCATCAATACTTTTAAATATATATATATATATAAAGCATGTAATGTAGCACTATAAAGAATTTATAATATTTTGAACAATTTCTCTGAGTTTCTTAAAACGAGTGATATAAGGAAGAAAATAAATTAGATTCCTTCACCTTCTACAAGATATAAATCAATTTGGAAAATTGCATTTGGAAGATGTCAAGGTTTGGTTCAGACAAAAAAAGTCCAAGTTTTTCAAAAAATATTTTGTTTTTTGTTTAAAAAATACATTGTGGAATTCCATTTTTTTACTCTTAAAGAATTCTGAACTTTTGTTTTTAACTGTTGTGCAGGTTGATAATTAACTCAATTCGCACCCAGCATGGATATAAAAAATATCCACATTGAACAACAAAATTAATTGTTTAAAATTAGCAATTCTCCGCCTCAAATCTGGTTTATTTTCTACAGGGGTGTTTCTAGTTTTGGGTTTAACAATAGAGTTTTTAGTCTGCTTTCAACATGTTTACACTCTTCTACATTTTGTTGGAAAATGCCGTTCTGGACTTTACTGTTCTCTAAAACCTTGAGTTTGTATTTTTCAGAATCTATTTTAGTTTTATCTTTGGTATTTTCTTGTTCGATGTTAGTTGTTTCTTTAGGCGCACAACACTTTTCCGAATGCTCTTGATTCACTGTTGTATTGGTTTCCAAAACGTCAGCCCTTATCGTTTCTAAACGACAATCAGTCCACTCATTTTTAAAGTCTGCATTTCTTCCTGATACAGCTTCAAGGTTGTGCGTTATGGCAGTTTCATTGTCTTCAATATTTTTTGACTTTAGTGAAAAGTTTTCGTTTTTTTCGTCGACATCTTCTGTACATTCCTCTCCTGTTTCATTTTCTACGGATCTTAACAAAAATTAATTTATTAAAATTTTAAATTAAAAATAAGTTGAATGCATTGTTTACCTATTATCTGAGAAGTATATCGATTCAAAATTTTCGGCCTCTGACAATTAAAATTCATTTAATACAATATCTTTTATGAATCATTGAGCATTAAAAGGAGTGTTCGCAAAAAATGAAGGGGGCTACTAATCTTACTTCTATCTGTTGCGCTATAAGGAGAAAATTGTTAAAAACAACTAATACCGAAGAACGTAGTGTCCATAAAAATTTAGAAAGATGCAACATTCAACTCGGATCATAAACAAATCAATTTAATTCCAAACAAATCATTCAGATATTACAAACAATAGTCATCCATTATTTTTCGACGCATTCGTAAATAGTCAATATTTCATAATATTTTGTATTTTTCATGATCTGAGAGTTCCTTTTGAAAACATTTATTCCTGTTTATATCGGAAGTAGCCTACATCCCCTTTCATTTTTCGCGAGCACTCCCATTAAGAAAGTAAAATGACCGAAAGAAACCATGAAATTTAAGATTTATTTTTAATTGACAGTTTGGAAAATTCATAAATAAAGTGTTACAGTGTACATTCGGCTTTCAGAGAGAGGCAACAACTAGATCTTGAAAGTGGCTTCTAAAAGTATTCAGAGATACAGGGTGAGAGAGAGAAAATGGCAAATAAGAGAAGCTTTAGCCAGGAGTATATATGATGGAGGGTATACACCCCTGAAGACAAAAGGAAAAAAACCTACGAGAAACATTGAGGCCTGCGCTCATCTTTTAACGCTGTATTGACCTGGAGAATGGAGGTTTTTTACCTGGCTGGACCCAGATTTTGCTACTGACAGCTCTAATACTTCTTTAATATACTCCTTAGCTGTCATAAATTAGTCAGGTTCTTATACAGCTCTCCAGTTTCTTGCAGCTGAACAGCTGTGTGGAAAAAAACATGGAACTACACCCTACTTGGAAAAAAATAAAATAATAGTGCAGAGAAGGAGGGGTTTCTCTATGCTTCTCTTCCCCCTCCCTCTTGCCAGAAACAAGGAAAATGGAAACATAGAAAAAATAATCCTGATAGGTTGTGCACCATGCACTATGATACTGGTTTATACTCTGCCGGCTGCGAGGAAAAGATTGTTGTAGACAAGGCTGTATTCTGAAGCACTGTCCGTGATGAACTTACAAGAATAAAGAATTCTTTTATCTATAATGTCCACTCCTTGTCCAACCTTTCTTATCCGATTTGTCATTATTAAGGCGGAATTCTGACAACGGATATCCTCAGAATTTTCAAACCCCGCTTAACAGTGACTTTTATTTTTCCAACCTGTAAGAATATATAAATTTGAACAATGGCTAAATGAAAAACAGCTGGATCATCATTCCTCAAATAACTTGTCAGAGAAATTTGACACCTCTGCCTGGAAAACAAGTAGTTACATGCATAATATTAGGGAGAAAGAAATCAGAAATATATATCAAAATGCATGCTTCCCTTGTATTCCAAGGATTAGAATGCGTAGATCTAAAAGAAACAGATGTATGATCAGCGAAAAAGAAGATGGCAGTCTGAGAAAAAATTAAAAATTTTGATTTAAAAATAAATTATAATCTCCGTAAAAATAAAAAAGCATTACATAAAAATTATTTTTCAAAAATAAGGCATTTATAGGATTTATTCATACGATTCCAAAAACATAGAGGACTCTTCATTATTTCTTTTATTCAATTTTGGCTTTAAAAATTGTTTTAAATATTTGCTTAATGAATTATTTTCCTGAATTTTGTCTGCTCTGATCATTTAGGAGAACTGTTACAGTTGGATTACTCATTTTATCTTTTACATCCGGTAACCTGGAGAATATGTATATAATAACATGCATATTCAGAGACGTAAAAAAAAATTATTGTTTACATTTTAATATTCTGATGTTTTCAGGAATCTGATTTTAAAATTAATATCTTCAAAAGATTGTTAAACTTAAACTGAAAATAGGAAAAGAACTAATCCAAAAATCTAAAAATCATTTTTCTGGAGGGCTTAACATGTAAAAATATTTTACCTTGGGGAGCTGGACATATAAAAAATTCGGAGGCCTTGACATTTATAAATCTTTTACCTGGAGGGCTGGACATTTAAAAATATTTTACCTGAAGGGCTGCACATTTAAAAATATTTTACCTGGAGGGCTGTGTATTTAAAATTATTTTACCTGGAGGGCTGGACATTTAAAAATATTTTACTTGGAGGACTGCACATTTAAAAATATTTCACCTGGAGGGCTGTATATTTAAAATTATTTTACCTGGAGGGCTGTATATTTAAAATTATTTTACCTGGAGGGCTGAACATTTAAAAATATTTTACCTGGAGGGCTGTACATTTAAAAATATTTTACCAGGAGGGCTGGACATTTAAAAATTTTTTACCTGGAGGGCTGCACATTTAAAAATATTTTACCTGGAGGGCTGTATATTTTAAATTATTTTACCTGGAGGGCTGGACATTTAAAATGATTTACCTGGAGGGCTGCACTTTAAAAATATTTTACCTGGAGGGCTGTATATTTAAAATTATTTTACCTGGCGGGCTGGACTTTTAAAAATATTTTACCTGGAGGGCTGCACATTTAAAAATATTTTACCTGGAGGGCTGTACATTTAAAAATATTTTACCAGGAGGGCTGGAAATTTAAAAATATTTTACCTGGAGGGCTGGACATTTAAAAATATTTTACCAGGAGGGCTGGACCTTTAAAAATTCTTTTACCTGGAGGGCTGGACATTTTAAAGATCTTTTATCTAGGGGGTTGGACATTTAACAATCGCTTAAATGGAGGGTTTGACATTTTAAAGATAATTTACCTGCACATTTTAGAAATTTTTACCTGTAGGGCTGGACACTTTTCTCTCCAAGTAACCAGAAGGTTTGGATCAATCCTTTCCCCTGAAATATTAAAATATCCAATAAATATTTAAATCGAGAATTATTTTGTATAGAAGGTTAAGCAATAACATGATTGATTGGGATAGAGTTTAAGTCGATCGCAGGGTGTCTATTAAATTTGTAAAACATATTTTTAGAAAAAAGAGGTAATTGACGAGTGTCAATGTATTGCAGGGTTCCCATAATATGATTAGTTATAGGTTATGAATAAGCATAAGCAACAATTCTTCATTACAAATTTTTTTTAAATATTTTTTTTAAGCGCAATCTGGGTTTTCCCAAAAGTTTTCAATTAAGAAGGTTCAAAATAAACACAAATTCTTTTTCGCCCTATCATGGCCAAAATAAAAAGTATCCAAAAAACGTACGGCTTCATAACTTAACGAAAGAACAGTGCAAGAATTGTATTCAGCGGTGGTTCGAAAGAGAAAACGAAAACAGAAATTATCTGGAAGTCGCCTCACATACGTCCAATCAAATTTCTTTAATTAAGTTGATATTTTTAAACCCTTGATAAAAATGCCTTTTCAAAAACCCGCTATTTGGTTTTGAACAGTCATTTTTATCGGACACACCCTACCTTCATCTCCACTTGTCCTCTCTCAACTGTCTCAAAACAATCAAATGTCTTCAATGCAGTATTTGTCTCAGAGCTGATATGGATCTTCATTGCTGAAATAGAATTAACATTTTTAAAGTATAATTTAGACCGTTGCGCAGCTCTATTTCTTTTACGTTCTTGAACATTTAAATTGTTTTTCAATTTTCTAAACAAAGAATAACAAATTCATGGTTCTTTTGGGTTGAGGGGTTGGCAAGGTTTAAAGTTTAATTTAAATTTAAAATCGTACTTTTAGAAGAAGATCGACTTTATATAATTCCAGAGGAGGGGGGGGGGGATGGATGCTTTTATATGCTCTGGGGTGAAAAATGATTATCATTCGGCATATTTTTGATAAATTTCATGCAAAATTTCATCCCCCCCTCCCCCCTTAAAAAAAATATGACTCCCCATTTCAGCGAATAAAACCTTTATGAACAATTTTTCAATGTTGAAGAAAACGAATTCCATCATTGTGATAGTAAAGAGCTACAAATTGTGTCAAGTTTTGTTGATATTGCGTCGCTTTGAACTTGCACAAGATATATTTTGCGCAAAAAATTGAGTTTCTCAGATTTGAACCCCCATATTTTTGCAAAAGCTTTGCTTGTGAGCAGTAAAGGACGAGAGAAGGCACACCACACCTTTTTTTGTCCGCACCACAAATGACGTCACAATTTACTATTAGTTCTTCCGACCACACCTTTTTTTTGTCTGGGTGTGCTTCTGTGGTTTCATATGTATTTATTTATGTCCTGTAACACTTTTTTCAAATTGAGGCAGCGTCATGTTTTACTATATGACTTGATTTAGTTTAAAATACATTTTGTTTGAAAAAAAAACTTAGCACAAAACGGAAAATACCTATTTTTCGTCCGGACCACATATATTTTTCGTCCGGACCACACATATTTATCGTCCGGACCACACATATTTTTCGTCCGGACCACACATATTTTTCGTCCGGACCACACATATTTTTCGTCCGAACCACACATATTTTTCGTCCGGACCACACATATTTTTCGTTCAGACCATACACATATTTTTCGTCCGGACCACACATATTTTTCGTCCGGACCACACATATTTTTCGTTCGGACCACACATATTTTTCGTCCGGACCACAAATATTTTTCGTTCAGACCATACACATATTTTTTGTCCGGACCACACATATTTTTCGTCCGGACCACACACATATTTGTTTTTTTCTTATTTTACTCGTAAGCTGCCGCTTTTAAGTGATAGATGCTGGATTTTTAGAATCTACAACTAAAAATTTACATATTACATAAGTGGTTTTGATTTGCTCGAGGTATTATGAAAAGAAATGTCCATGAATTGTTCTACAAATTGTTTGTACCTTCATAATTATATTCTTCTTTAAAGAAAAGATAGGATGAAATATTTTAAACCGACATGAATACAATAAAATCCAAAAGTAATTTAAAAAATAATGTAAACAACGCCGGACGAAAAATGGTGAATTGTGACGTAATTTGTGGTCGGACGAAAAAAAGGTGTGGTGTGCCTTCCCTCCCTCAGTGGGCCCACTAAATCCAAATATATAGAACAAGGTTATATATGCATGTTATGTTTTGGAAAATGTAAAATGAATGTAATGAATGTTAATTTCTGAATAAAATGTTTCAATAAACTTGAGTTAACATGAGAATAAAAATACTTTACAACAATTTAAGTAAATGGAAACTTCTTCTTTACTCTGTTTACAGAATACTGAATACAAATGAAAGCAAAGAAAACTTTTAATATTTAAACTGTTGATTTAGTTTTTAAGTATTTAAAAAGCCTTCAGTTTTGAATACAGTGAAAAGATTGACGATAAAATGCTTTTAGCAAGAACTACAGTGGTTATTAGAAAACAATGGAATAGGAAGACGACATTATAGCAATACGTAAGTGCATTTGATGGTGTTACAAAGCAAATAGTTTTACCAGACACTTTTAAAATTACTTTTTTGTTAAATTGGTCTGTTTACACTGCACAATTGCTGTGTTTCATGGTTATTGAACTTTTTAGAGTTAAAAATTGATTCTCAAAGTCGTTCTACTATTCCAAAGTTTTCTGGTTATCACTGTAAGATATTAAGGAAAGGAATTTTAAAGAAATTTCTAATGTGTGCAACCTGTTTTCGGGCACGTATCTAATATTTATAATGTGTGCAACCTGTTTTCGGGCACGTATCTAATATTTCTAATGTGTGCAACCTGTTTTCGGGCACGTCTCTAATATTTCTAATGTGTGCAACCTGTTTTCGGGCACGTCTCTAATATTTCAAACCAAAAATTTTGCCGGATAAAAAAGTCCAATTGTAAATAAAGGTTTGCACCATCGCGTTGCAATGATAAAGCGATCAATGCTCGATACTTACGTTCTCCGCTAGATTCAAGCCTAGCCGCAGTGTTTACAGTATCTCCGAACAGGCAGTACCTAGGCATCTTTATACCAACCACCCCGGCACAACACGTACCTACGTGAAAACAACAAAACTTTTGGAAAGGTGTCGTATCTTTGCATTTTCTTTTAGTACAGTGATGAAAACTGTAGAACAAAGAAGACGACATCGAAGCAATCATAACAGTAGTTGATGAGGTACGGCCAAGCAAATAGTTTTACTTTATAGTAACTTACTAAGTCAATTATTAAGTGATTTAGGCCTTTTAACGCCGCACAATTGTGGTGTCTCATGTTTATTGTATAGTATTGTATTTTTAAAATTGGATTCCAAAAGAAAAAGTGCTAAGAAAATACAAAATCTTTAGCGATACTTATATTAATAAAATTAAAAGAAAAACAGCTTCAAAGCTTTTGATTATCTTTTTTATTTAATCATTCATAGCTGAGATCAGATTTAATTTAAATAGAGTAATGAAGTTAAACTAGGTAATGATAGTTGAACTACATTAATTGAATTAATTCCTATTTCTGGACTATCGTACTTTCTTTCTAAACTATGTTTTGTATTCCTACCACACTCTAAATTACGAAATAAAAAAATATATTCTACAAAAGAATCGCTTATTTGGCAGCAAAAGTTGGATGACTGCCAAAAAGTATAATTTTTGTTAAATACAAGGTTTTTTTTAATTTCTCACTGTTGTGAACCAGCCTCTTGTAGGGAAATTCTAGGAACCTGTATGTAGGGTTGTTAATCGTTTATGTAAACGATCATTAAACGATCGTTTTCGTTTTCCTATCGTTTTTGTTTCGTTTTCCTATCATTTTAAAGACAATCGTTTTAAAATCTTTAAAAAAACGATAGTTTTTAAAACGATAGGAAAACGAAAAAAAACTATCGTTTTTCAAAAAAATAAAAACGTTAACATCCCTACCTGTATGTAGGCCTATTCTAAGCCGAAGTGAGTCCTGTGGCCTATGCTGAATCTTGAAGTTCCGAACTGCCTCAAGCAGTTTCAAGGACATCCTGCCTATCTCACGTGAGTGATTGTTGCCATTAGGAATTGGTAAACCTTGAAAAATTAAAATTCTTAAGCTTTCCCTTTTTTAAATTACAATCGAGTATGAGTCAGATTATGTCTGGGAACTCTTGTATTGTTGAAATTGAGATCAACGCTTGATCTGAATATTTTGTTAATCTGCAGATTAATTTAATATTTATTCTATATTCCGCACGAAATCGTACTCTGGAGGAATACCTTAACCCTATCCCCGCTGGGGTACTTGAAAACCAGGATACGCTGGGGGGGGTCAATTTGACCCCCCCCTCTAAATCCCATGTTTTATGTCCAAATATGACAAATGATACATCATTAGAAAGCTCTTGTGCTCTACTTTTAGAATCTGCAAAAAAATTTGCAAATTTGCGAAAATTGAATTTTTTATCGCAAAATCCAGTTTTATAGTAAATATGTTTGCAAAAAAAAATGTGTCCAAAAAATGACAAATTATACATTTTTGAAAAGCCCTTGACTATGCCATTTCAAATATGCAAAAATTTTTGCAAAATTTTAAATAACCTGATTTTTAATCAAGAAAAACTAAAAATGTGCAAATTTCCTTTGACAGGTTGTTTGCAAAAAATTTGCAATTTTTTTTCGCAAAACTTGTGCAATCCGTTTCCTTATGTCCTAGGCTTTCCAATAAGCTAAATTTTATCAAAATCTGACAAGTGAAAGTGGGTCAAAACAAAGATTTAGTTTGCTACAGGCAAAAGCAGTCATTCAGGCAGTGTGCCTGAGGACTCAGGCAGTTAGTATTAAAGCCCGGTTTTAGGCCTAAAGGGAGGGCTTTGGGTATGTAAGAAAAGTCAGAAAATTTCAACAGCCTCAGACCAATACTTTTTGAGTTATGTAAAAAAAACTACAGGGGGGGGGGCCAAATTGCCCCCCCCCAGCGGGAATAGGGTTAAATAAGGAGATTAAGCAATGATCCTCAAACTAAAAGTGACAATAGTGGATATCAAGATTAAAGGATAGGTATTATAGGTGCGCATTTACACAAAAGTAAAAATTAGCAAATGCGAAAAACTAAAAATGCGTTACAAAATTAAGGTTCACTGAATTTTGACCAGAACCTTTAATTAACTGTGACGCTGCAGAAACACCCCTATAAATTGCAACGAAGAAATAGGACCCGTGCCATCTTTGTTGACAAGAATAAGAGTACTTAATCTCTGGAAGAAATATAAGTAAAAACTGAATTAGAATGTAATATAAATAAGTTTATAAATAACTGCTTTTTGTTAAAAAAAAATAACAAACAAAAAATGTCCACAAACTTAAATTTGCTAATCCCTATATATTTATAATCTGATGGTGTAAACTTTGATATTTAAAACTTATAATATAACTTTCCAAATTCATAGTTTGAAATATCAAAGGTCTACGAGGTTGGGTTACAGCAATTTCTTTGCGATCGAATTGATACCAATATCTTTATAAAGGGTTTTCACAATTTTCACATTCTTTGCGGCAAAGACTCAATATCCTATTTTAAAATTTCTTAACTTTCTTTACGGTGTTTACACATTTTAAATCTTACCTGAAGCTACCATATAAGCATCCCCAATGGTTTCAACCTATGAAATAAAAATTAAAATAATATTCTGAAAATTCGTTTAAAATCTCTAAAAAATGTTAAATCTTCAAAATTCTAAGAATATATTTAGTAAGATTTGTTATATACCATTCAAATTTTCTCGAAGGGTTTCCTAATCCTTTCTCGTATTTTTTAATTCAATTTAAGAATAAGATTGATAATAAAAAACGGGAACTACAGGGTGTCCCAAAAAACATTGGAATTCAGTGACGAATTCGATATCGTCTTTTCAAATAATTCTTTGATTTAGTATAGTGATACCTACTGAGAAAGCTGTAATCTGTAAGAGTTTCGTCTGCTATATTTACATTTTTTTTGTTTATGTTTTGACTGCAACCGGTTGTACTTAGTAAAACAAGAAAATTACAGTATACAAACAGAGTAAACTTGTCCGTATTCACTGTTCATCTTGCGGAGACATTATAGACACATCTTTACAGTCTTTTACCCTTTTCATGAAATAAACTCTAGCAGACATTATAATATTATGGCTTTTGAAATTAGGTATTAAAATGCTAATTCATAACAAAGACGATATCCAATTCGTCACTGAATTCCCATGTTTTTTGGGACACCCTGTATAGTAATCTAATCATCAAAAGTCCATGGCCGGATTGAAATCACATTTCTGAGAATGTAAGACGGATTCCTGAAGCATATTTGCACAACAAATCCTGGATTTTCTGTCACACAAATGAACGGAAAATTGGTTTACATCTGTCTAATTCCAGATAAAAATTTAAAGGGCATTCATTGCGAATCGTTGTCAATTGAATTAACGATGATAATTCCTTTAAAGAAAATGATTACTTGCCTCAATACCTAATTTTCAAATTCCTATACTTTTGCAACCTATCTATGCGAGTAAACCTCAAATATTTTAAAATTCGACTATTTTTTAATGGGCACATTTTTAAGGTCTGCATCAAAAAAAACATCAAATTGCAAAGTAAAAAGGATTTGAAAATTAAAGATAGAGGCAAGTATTCAGTTCTTTATGTCTCGAAATAGACATAGCTTAATAATAGTAGTTTTGCTAAATGATTAGATTATGACATTGTAAATTTATAGTTTCTGTGTGTATCTATCTAGTAAATTTAATATATTCAAATAAAATTAAGCCTTCCGCATAATTTTAATGGTTTTCAAACTGAAAGATGATCACAAAGGAATGCAAAAATGAATTGAATTTTGAAAACATTAACTGCGTGTTTTATAAAAATAAACTTTATTACATTTAAATTTAATCTACTTTTATTTTTAAATTTTCTTTTACTCGTCAAATTTTGCAGTGACGTCAAAATTGAAAGCTATTTTTTAATTTTATTTCGAAGAGCAAAGTACGTTGAAAAAAGTAATTACGAAAATTTATTTTTATATTTATAATTTTGACAGGTTTATATTATTATTCATATAGGCTTTGTTACTCCTGCTATTTACCCGCGCTTGATATTAATTTATGATTCTAACTAAAGTTTCTGGAGTTGCCCGTGGAATTTCAAAAGAAATGTTGTCTATGTCATTGTCGACTCCGAACTAACATGGGTTCCCTCAACAAACAAATTTATGAATATTTACATAAGCTTTATTATATACTAGTTGTAGTACCCGACGTTGCCCAGGTTTATGTTATTCATAGTTATTCCCGCCGTTTACCCGCTCTCGGTCTTAAATCTTGGTTTTAGCAGAAGTACCCGACGTTACCCGTGGAATTTTTAGAAATTTCAAAACTTGTATTTGGTTCCATTGGCCCATTAGTCCATTGGTTCCCTTAAAAAATTCGGTCCAGCCGTTTGGCTGGTTACAGCTAATATATATATTAGCGAAGAGCCTTATTATGTAGAAAAGATAATCTTAACATGTTTTGTCCTGTTCATATTTATGATTTATGTCTCCAGATCGAATTATAGGTTTCTAAAAGTACAAAGAGTAAAAATGATAAATTAACCATAATAATTACAACCTTCTTTTTACAGCTACATAAATGGACTGTACGTAGACATAATTTCATGTTATTTGAATTTATAGAGCGGAATGTCTAATAAACAACGGTACCATTATGTCTGACCAATAATTCAAAAGATGTCCATCATTTACTTTTTAAAATCGATTCTTTTTTAAAATATGTTTTATAAACTGTGTAACATTGTAAAAATAACCCTGTATGTTTGCAACATATAGATTAGAACATTAAACCTTAAAATATGTTTTATAAACTGTTTAACATTGTGAAAATAACCCTGTATGTTTGCAACATATAATTAGAACGTTAAACCTTAAAATATGTTTAATAAACTGTGTAACATTGTGAAAATACCCATGTATGTTTGCAACATATAGATTAGAACGTTAAACCTTAAAATATGTTTATTAAACTGTGTAACATTGTGAAAATACCCATGTATGTTTGCAACATATAGATTAGAACGTTAAACCTTAAAATATGTTTATTAAACTGTGTCGTCCTATTAGGACTCATCAATATGGCTCTAATCTTGGAATTTTAGTTGTTCAAAGAATTTTAACTACTGAGGATCGTCATGATAGACGTGAAACATTATCTTTAGTATAATTCTATTTTAAGAAAAAATGCGAAGTTAAAAACTAAAATGTATATTTATATATATATATCCATAGACACAGTGTTTCGTCCTATTAGGACTCATCAATATGGCTCTAATCATCAGATTTTTATTTTGCAGTTGACGGGGCTTGAACCATGAATCCTTAGATTATGAATCAAACACGCTAACCACTGCTCCATCAAACCCTAATGATTTGGTAATGAAATAGGGACTAGAGAGCTCAACCAACTCATTATAAGTTGAGGGCCTTGCATATATATATAAATATTTGTTTAAATTTTACCTTATATACATCGAAGTTGTCAATGATTGAATCAAAAACTGTATACAAATCATTCAGGAAATCCACAATCTAGAAACATGTTTAAATACAAATCATTAAGACAATACAAATTAATAAATAACAAAAAAATATTACATGATGACAATTATTTAAATATATTTTGATTAGTAGTTATTGTTGACTGTCTTTTTTCCTTAAAATGTTTAGTTGAGAAATTATTTAGAAACCTTATTTATTTTTAAATATAAGTATATAATTGTGTATTCTACATTACTGGAACGATTTTTTGCCCTCGTAGCTCCTCTTGTTTTGATTTGACGTAATATTTATTTGGTCACATGTTAAAATTTAGAACATTTTTGTTCTTCTCAATATAGCTCTTTAATAAAAGGAATTGTGATTGAAAACATCTAAGATTTCAATTAGAGATAGTTTATTCTGTTTGACATGATGTATAGATATATATATATATATATCAAAAAATTGTCATGGACCAATCTTCAGTGAGGTTTGTTCTATATACTATAGGTATTTTTAATTAAATCATATGATTATATAGATTAAATATAATTCTCTTTGAGATGAGGTCAGATAGTGATGTAACCTGATAATGGTGTAATTACAAATCTAATCTTTATCTAATCTAATATAAAGTAGACTACAATTATTTTCTAATTTCTCTTTATATAATCAGCCAATTGGTATAAATTGTATGTATATCTAAATGAATACTAATTCTTCTACTCATTTCCCTATCCTGGAAATATCCATACACAGGGTTTTCTTTCAAAGGTGGATGAGGAGGAGGGGGGGGGGAAGGGGCGGAGGAGCCACCCATTGAAAAATTTGAGTCGCAAATTGTAAGAAGAAACAGCTTTCGCTCCTTTATTTCGATCTTAACACATATCCTAAATAAGATCTTGCCATGAACCCAGAGCCACATATTTCAAAATCGATTCTTTTTTTGAAATTACAAACACATGTTCATAATTTTTGATACTAGGTTTATGTTTGAACCACTCATTTAGACAATAATAATATTTATATATTACAGCATAATCCGCAATATTGAATAAGAAAATCTTCTTACTTTCTCTCTGACGTTTGATAATCTTGCGAAGTAACAATTGCTACACCCGAAAATAAAAGATTACAGGTCTCCCTTAAACAAGTCAAACAGTATCAAAAATACGGCATTTTTCTCCATTTTCTCTTTAAATATTTTTATTTGTGGTTTTTTACCAGTTGTAATAACTTTGAAGGACCTTAGATATAGATATATAAGAAGATTTTGTAAAAATATTGAATTCGTCCTTAATGTGATGTGAAAAATTCAAATAGTCCAAATATCGGGTTCGAAGTTTGGAAGTTGTTTGAGAGAAAGATTAAAATGCTGGAGATAATTAATTTCTATATCAAATTTCATTCTAATAACAAGTTAATAAACATAAAAATTGTCTTTTTGTTGTTCCTTGTTTTTTTACAAGTTAACATTTAAAAAAATTCCACTTTTAAAAATCACCCTGTATACTTAAAAACTTCAGTCTTGTTCTCCCGTAAAATGCAAAGTGTTATGAGTTCTTAATCCTTGTATTCTAAATTGTACACTTCCCATCCAGAATCAAGAATGTTAAAACTTTATCATAACATACAAGGGAAATTTTCTTCTCAACCTCCATTTTTTTTTAGCTCCTCCAGAGGGGACAGAAGAAATGGGGGGCCGGGGGTTACTTATTAAAGTAATTGAGTCTTTGCCACAAACTATGATTATTCCTATATCTTAGCAACGTAATGTCGTAGGCCTTATAGATATATTGAAAATTCATCTTGTAAGATCAAATAATCTCAATTTGAAATATGAAAGGTTTACACCATCAGGTTGCAAAGATAGAGGGATTAGATAATTTGAGTATATGACAAAGAATCAATTCCTTTATTTAATATGGTTTTTGGAATGCTCTGAATTGGTCTATTTCAAAAATCTACAAAAAAGATTAGGAATAAAATCTGAATGTCTAATTTCTTGATCTTTGCAGCCAGATGTTATTATAGACTTTTTAGACTTTTTTTAGGTCGCAAAAGTTAAAAATACGACACAAGGTTAAACAGATATTGGGATTAAAAAATTGCAGTTTGTGAGGATTAAGTGCAGTTATTTTGCAATAAATCCAAGATAAAGGGGGCTCTTCTGCTGCTATCCCCCCCAGGCCGGGGGCTNCCCCCACCTCTGTTTAAGTCCTTGTCTAGCAAAGCAGAGACTTTAAGAATTTAATAGATAAAGTGTTCTCTCATTTTTAAGTTTTAATTCAATCTTTTCTGATTAAAGTTGTGAAAATAAGTTTATAAAATATTCATAAGCTGCAGAGAACAGTCAGAAACAGAAACATCATTCAGTTTATTACATGTTTATGGACAAACATTAAAAATAATATTAAAAATTATTTGTCTAGATTTAATTTTTTTACACTTTTACATCTAGCAAGTTTTTAATCGTTAATTAACGGAAATAGACGTTTTTGAAGAAAAAAGAAACGGACGTGTTTTTTTGCAAAAAATTTGCCAAAAAATAAAAGATAATTTTTTATGTATGTCGATGTTTTTAAACACCATCTTCGGATTTTTGCCTCGTTTGTTTGTTGAATTATAGAATTTTATGCATTTTTAATATTTTTTTACGTGATTTGAATGTTGATGCTTTAGAATGTTATTCAAATTCTAAAAGATGTTTTAATATGAAATATAATCGTTAACGGCTGGCACCGTTAACGATATCTAAAATATCTGCCGCGTGTTAACGCCGTTAAGATCGTTAACGAACGGTAACCTTAAAACGGATAATACCGTTACCAAAACAAAAGTACTGTTTTTCTCTAAAAACATGCAGAGTAAATGAATGAATGAATGAGATTACATCTAGTGGAGTAAATTAATGAAAGTATGAGTAAGATTACCACACATAGCGGAGTAAAAGGATGAAAGGATGAATGAGATTACCACAAATAGTGGAGTAAATGAATGAAAGGATGAATGAGAATACTACATCTAGTGGATTAAATGAATAAAAGGATGAATTAGATTACATCTAGTGGAGTAAATAAATGAATGAGATTACCTCTAGTAGATAGAGTAAATGAATGAATGAGATTACCTTAAGTGGAGTAAATGAATGAATGAGATTACCTCTAGTAGAGTAAAAGGATGAATGAGATTACCTCTAGTAGAGTAAATGAATGAATGAGATGACCTCTAGTGGAGTAAATGAATGAATGAGATTACCTCTAGTAGAGTAAATGAATGAATGAGATTACCTCTAGTGGAGTAAATGAATGAATGAAATTACCTCTAGTAGAGTAAATGAATGAATGAGATTACCTCTAGTAGAGTAAATGAACTAGATTATCTATAGTGGATAGGATGAATGAATGGATGAATGAGATTACCTCTAGTAGAGTAAATGAATGAATGATATTACCTCTAGTAGAGTAAATGAATGAGTATACCTCTAGTGGAGTAAATGAATGAGATTATCTCTAGTGGAGAGGATGAATAAATGGATGAATGAGATTACTTCTAGTAGAGTAAATGGATGAATGAGATTACCTCTAGTGGAGTAAATGGATGAATGAGATTACCTCTAGTAGAGTAAATGAATGAATGAGATAACCCCTAGTGGAGTAAATGAATGAATGAGATTACCTCTAGTAGAGTAAATGAATGAAATTACCTCTAGTAGAGTAAATGAATGAATGAATGAATGAGATTACCTCTAGTGTAGTAAATGAATGAGATTATCTCTAGTGGAGAGGATGAATGAATGGATGAATGAGATTACCTCTAGTAGAGTAAATGAATAAATGAATGAATGAGATTACCTCTAGTGGAGTAAATGAATGAGATTATCTCTAGTGGAGAGGATGAATAAATGGATGAATGAGATTACCTCTAGTATAGTAAATGAATGAATGAATGAATGAGATTATCTCTAGTAGAGTAAATGAAAGGATGAATGAGATTACCTCTAGTAGAGAGGATGAAAGGATGAATGAATGAATGAGATTACCTCTAGTAGAGTAAATGAATGAATGAATGAATGAATGAGATTACCTCTAGTGGAGTGGATTGAGCAGATAAAGCTGTAAACCCGACTATATCACTGTAGGATACAAGATTTAAACATCATTAAAACTAGAGTGGGGAAATTCCTCTAGTTTCATTCTTTATTAATACTTCAACCCCTACCCCATTACATCCTCCCATTTAACCCCAACCTACTCTTATTCATTTTAAAAAATTAGATTTCTCTATTTCAAAGTCGAATGAAGTACAAGGTTAGTAAATTATTTAAATTATTTTAGGCCTTGAAACTTTAAATTATTATCTTTATTGCACTCTAGGGGTTTAAAATTATTTTAGCGTAAATCAAATATGAAAGTGCAGTTCACAATTTCTATTTTTGAGCCATCTTTTATTTTATCATATATCTAGCTTTTAGGATCAATCAGATAAGAATGTGATATCTATTAAAGAAATTGACTATTTTCAACAAGACAAGAGGGTGAAATAACCGGCTACCACAATTTAATCCTATTGTACCATAGGAATCCCTTGAAAGGAATAAACAATGTATTCCTAAAATATATTGTACCATAGGAATCTCTTGAAAGGGAGTCTAAACTAAGTAATAAATGGAATAAACAATGTATTCCTAAAATATATTGTGACCGAGGTAAATGTTTCTGCGATGAAAGCCTGGCCCTCGACTAACCTTGCAACCACAGATCTAAAATAAACAGACATACACGTGGAATAGGAAGACGACTTTTTGACTCAAGTTATAATTCAAATAATCTAATGAAAATGAAACACTGTAATTGTGCAGCAGCCCCATGTAGAAATCGGTTAGCAATCCTCGGTCCCAGCATTATTGAACACAAGACTTTTTTGTTAGAACCAAGAATAATTGTTATAGAAAAATGTAAATTAAAATCTGTTGAATTCCGTTTTACTACCTATAACCACACATGCACAAATGATTTGAAAAATGAGACAAATTCGAATTCTTTCAAAAACTGAATACATATAATTTCACAATGGAGGCAAAATAGTCTGAGTTTACTAAAATATGTGAAAAATTTGTCCAGACTGTCAGTAAACCACTGTGAAATGTTCACTGTGTCCAGACTGTCAGTAAACCACTGTGAAATGTTCTCTGTGTCTGCTGCTAAGAATCTTAAAGCAGAAAATGTACTGTATATTGTATATTGTATATCGTATACATTGTATAACCTATCCTGTGTTCTGGAAATCACTAACCCTTGTATGTATCAATTAGATTTTAGTAGCAACTCTCACCCCTCCCCCCTAATTTATCCTTTGTATGTACACCAATTACTCCCCAAAAATGGACTAAAGGAATTGAGTCTTTGCCACAAACTCTGATTTTCTAATCCCTATATCTTTGCAACCTGATGTCGTAGACCTTAGATATTTCAAAATTTTGTTAAATAGCTTAAGTTTGTAAAATAAAAGGTTTGCACCATCAGGTTGCAAAGATATCAGAATTAGCAAATTTGAGTTTGTGACAAAGACTCAATTCCTTTAGACGGTCGTTAAGACTTTTTATAGTCCACGGACTTTTACACCAATGACAAGCAAAACTTAGTGAAAACATTTTTATTCAAATAAAACATATATTTCTGCAATACTGTATCTAATTCGTCCGAAATTTGTATTATTATTATTATTATTTTTCAGTTTTCTCAAAGTATTCTTTATCGTTTTCATTAATTTCATTAGCTTTAATTAAAACTTGGAAAACTTCCAGAATTTTCTAATTTTAGTATTAATTTGCTTCTTTTTATTCAAAAATGTTTTTTTTACTCCATGAGTCTATAACTAAATGTTAGGTTTCAGCTTAATTGCCACTTCTGACTTGAATTTTAACCATTGGATTAAATATTTAACTCGCCGATATCGACGAGTTAAAATTTAAACCCAGGGTTAAAATCTTCATTGAATAAATTTTACGTTTTAGATTATTTAATAATTTAATGTTTGCACGTAAACTTAAAAAATGGTTGTAACTGGAAATATGTTTTTTTTGATTGATTGATAAACGTTTATTACCAAAAGCACCTTTAAGTTTTTTTTGGTTAAGTAAATAATTTAAAATTAAAGAACAGCTGATAAGCGATAGTTACGCGAGTTACGTAATATCTCTCCGTAAATCCTTTTTTCTAAATGGTTCAGATTTTTCCCAGAAAATTCAAATTTTCCTTCAGGGTTTATTTAAAAAAGTTCAAATTCAAGTAGCAACTCATTATTTTACAGAACTTTTAACTTTAAGCTATAACTTAAATTTCGCGCATTCTTTAGTTTTAGACTCAGGATTAAATGCAAAAAAATAGAGAATGAGGTAAATTGGGATTCATTGTTTTTTTTTCTTTTAGGCCAATTCCAAATAATTAATTAGCATTTGTTGTTTGTTTTGCAGGACCATTTTCTCTGAAGGATTCAAAAACATGTTTTTTTCTTGGTTTATTAAACAAAAAATATAATTTTTGAGGAATTTTTTTAAATTGTTTATTGTAGTAGTCTCCAAAAAAACGGAATATGTAAATGATTATTAATTCTCAAAAATTAAGTTTAAGTCATGCTCATCCGTCCAAATAGATTCAATCAAATAAATTCAATAAAAGATCCTATCAATGTTTAAGAATTGACAGTATAAAACCTTTTCATCAATCTATCCTTTCAATTTTATTCAGTTTAGATAAAAGGTTCAAATTTTATCAATACAGCAAAAAATTCTTATTTTGTTAATTAATAAGTATTCTATCATCAGTGTGTTCTGTATTCTGTATCATGTATCCTGCATCCTGTATCCTGCATCCTGTATCCTGTATCCTGTATCCTGTATATTGTATCCTGTATCCTGTATCCTGCATCCTGTATCCTGTATCCTGTATCCTGTATCCTGTATCCTGTATCCTGTATCCTGTATCCTGTATCCTGTATTCTTTATCCTGTATCCTGTATCCCGTATCTGATAATGTAATTGTTCTGTTTTCATCTTTTCCTCTAAATAATCAGCTGCTAGCTGATCTGTATACTCTATACCTGGGTAGTAGCTGATAAAGTAATTGTTCTGTTTTCATCTTTTCCTCTAAATAATCAGCTTCTAGCTGATCAGTATATTCCTCCATACTTGTCAACAGGCACTCCAGTACTCCACGTTCTGTCACACTATGCAAGAAACAATGAGTACATAACGACGTCATTTGAGCAATTGAATGTGTATTAATAATGATTTTATTTTTATTGAATTATAAACTGTCAGATCTTAAAAATATTGATTTTAGTGAAATATCAGTTATAACAGGAACATTTTCCAGAGAGAAGACGACAAGAATTCCACTTTTCACTAGTTATCAGTCACTGACATTGGTCCTGAGAGGAATGAAAAATGTTTAAGCTTAAAAGTGTCACTAACTTGTTAACCAACTTTTTTAGCTTTAGAAATGTAACTTTCAGAACTATAAAGAACAAAATTCTCATCTTAATAACTGTGCACTGTAGGTGTTTTCTCTTTCAAAGTTTAAAGTGTTAAAAGTTTAAATTTCAAAAGATTGTTAAGCTATTTTTCTTAATTCTTAAAAAATTTTAATCCTGGAGAAGGTGAATGATTCCTTTAAATCTAGTTTAAACAATGTTTATTTGTCTGAAGGGATTTAATCAAATAAATTGAATAAAAGATCCTTTCAATGTTAAAGAAATGACAATTTAATCCTTTTCATCAATCTTTTCTTTCAATTTTAATTCTATTCGGTTTAGATAAAATTTTATCAATACAGCAAAAAAAAATTTTTTTAATAATTAGATTTTGTATTCTATCATGCTAATGCTGTTTAGAGTGTTCTGTATCCTGTATCCTGTATCTTATATCCTATATCTATACCTCTCTACCCGCTGTACCGCCTGGCGTAGTGTATTGAAGTCAGGTTTGATACAGTAGCTGGAATCACAACATCTAGAAAACATAATTCTTATTTCTGTTCCAAATAATCTTTATTTTATATCCTTTCTGATCTTTCTTCTAAATGGAGTGTTCAGAAAAATAGAAACGGTGGTGAATAATGTGTCATTCCATACTATTATTATTAATTATATTATAATATTATAATTATAATATTGTATTATTTGTAATTACAATTATTATAATATTGTATTACTTGTCTCTATACAATTATAAAGTACATCCTTATTTTTCAATTACTTCCTTTAAAGGGTCTGTTATAATTTTAAATGGTACCCTATAAAGCTTTATCTGATCAATAATGTGGAAGATAAAGTCGTTTTTCTAGCTTGACAAGTGTTCAATTCTGATAATTCATACAATATTTTCCTGTAAAAGAAATGCGCAAATTACTTTTTTAGACAACCCACATAAAATAATCAAAATAATCATTTTTTAAAATTATAAAAATTTAAAATTTATACTTAATCAAAAAAATCTTTTCAGGGTACCGTTTGGAATCGGACATGCCACTCTATAAATGGAAGAACATTTGAAATTACGGTAACAGCCCCTTTTAAAGTAAATTTTTGTCTGCCAAAGTTTGATTAATCTTTTGATTGATATGATATTCCTAAATCCATGAGTCGGGAGATGGAAGTTTGATATGATAAAGTTTATATAGAGAAATATGTTGCATTCTGGTTCCAGGGAATTAAATTAGTCATTTTAAAGAGACTGTTATCGTCATTTCAAGTGATCCTCCATTGCCCAGCTATTGGTAATTTCCTAGAGAACGATTTTTGGACCCCCCCCCCGGCCCCCCTCTTCCTATCAATTTTGTACATGGATCTTAAATGTAAGACATGTGGCCGCAGCGCTCGGCCCCCTAGCCTGTCCTAGCCGCAGCGCTCGGCCCAGAAAGTGTCAAAACTTAACCTAACCCGTGGCCGCAGCGCTCGGCCCCCTAGCCTGTCCTAGCCGCAGCGCTCGGCCCAGAAAGTGTCTTAACCTAACCTAACCCTAAATAAATACTAATTTAATTGAAAATTGTCGAAAAAGTGGTCCAAAAATCGTTCTCTAGGACAGACCCCAGCCATTTCACAAGTTTCCTATGGTTGTTTTCTACAAAAGTTACTTGCGGATTTTTGCAGCAGAGACAATGTAGAAAGAAATTAAAAGGTTGTGAAGAAAAACAAGGATATTTTCTCCTGATTGTTTCTCACATAAAAGTATGAAATCAGACTTACAACTCATTATTTGTGGGGTTCTCTTTAAAATACGTTGATAAAACTTTGATTTTTCTTATTTATTTATAATTGTACCTTTCAATAATAGATAGAAGTTGAGTAGCGGTGTAGAACTCATTTGTAGGAGGATCTCCTGTAATATGTTATAAGAAAATTTGAATCCATCAAAAGAAAATCGTGGAAAAAAATACTAATTAAAGAAGTCTCTGGAAAAAATGGTCACATAAATAAATAAACTGAAGTGTTTAGCAAAAATCTGTTCTACCATGATTATTTTTTAATTAAAAAAATTTCCATGACTGTTTTTCCGCAAGACTTTTTTAAGTGCCAGAAATTAGGACTTTTTAACAAGTACTTTATTGTGACTTTATTGGATTGTTACCAAAAAGAACTAACTAACTAACCCGCATTTCGTTATATTTATATTTGTGTATGTGCACTGCAAGCAGTATGCCACTGTAATCTTATTACAATTCGTAAATGTTTGATTTTATATCAATATTTTAGAAAAGTTTTTTTTTGAAAATTTTTTTGAGAATACTGTATACAAGGAAAGACATAGATTAATAACAATACAGATATAACAAAAGATGCCGTTTTTTTCAAGATTTAGGGTTTTTTCCTTCATGGAAGCCCAAAGGAGTTACGCGTAAGCCGAGTTGAATAACGCGTTGGGCTTCTCAGCGTTACTATGAACGAAAAATCCCTACATCATGAAAAGAGGATATCTACTGTTCTATCTGTTTTGTTATTAATCTATGGGAAAATACCATAGCTTTGTCAACAAATTAAGTGTACTTCAATTTTTGGGTGGAATGTAAACAACGCTTTTATAGTTTCTGTAATGTTTGTATCATAGATCTGACAAATGAAAATTCATCTCTAAAAATAAGATATTTGTGATATTATTCGAAATATTTTTAAGAGCTGTAAGGCAACGTTTAAAAGATCAAATAACCAACTGGCATAGTACCCAGCGTTGCCCAGAATAAGAAAGATTAAAAGGAACTTATTAAGCCTATGTTACCCCCCCCCCTGGTTGAGCAGTTTGGCCAGCTACATCTAATATAAATACATATGAGCAAAGAGTTTTTACTAAATTATTTATACTACAATGATAACCAGAAAACAATAGAATAGAATGACGACATCATAGCAATACTTAAGCCTTTTGATGTTGTTACAAAGCAAATATTTTTACTAGTAACTTAGCAAAGCACTATTTAAGTGAAATGGGTCTATTTACACTGTACAATTGCTAGGTCTAATGTTCATTAACTAGTTAAAGTTATACCTTGAGTTCAAAAGTCGTCTTCCTATTTCAGAGATTTTTGGTTATCACTGTATACTATACTATACTAGACAATATACTTTGAAGTTTATTGTTATTATTTTATTACTCTATGTGGGTCAGCATTGTATAAAAGGAAGTAAATAAAGAAACATCATCTCATGGGACCGTCAAATATATCATTCTACGACAAACAGTGAGCCTAAAAGTGAGTCTAAATATGAGCCTAAATATGAGCCTAAAAGTGAGCCAAAAAGTGATCCTAAATATGAGCCTAAATATGAGCCTAAAAGTGAGCCTAAAAGTGAGCTTAAATTTGAGCCTAAATATGAGCCTAAAAGTGACCCTAAAAGTGAGTCTAAAAGTGAGCCTAACAGTGAGCCTAAAAGTAAGCCTAAAAGTGAGTCTAAAAGTGAGCCTAACAGTGAGCCTAAAAGTGACCCTAAAAGTGAGTCTAAAAGTGAGCCTAACAGTGAGCCTAAAAGGTTCCAATATCACCAATTTTCTCGTGTATTTATAGCCTTACAAGTATTGATAGAAGATTTAATGAAATTTTGGTTGGATCAAAGAAATGTCTGATTGTGATGATGTGACTTTAATTATTTTATGAAACTGCATGTGTTTAGAAGATATGTTCTAAAGAATATACATATATTAAAGTTTGTAAAACATTTTTTTCCTCAAAACTAAAGAATGAGAAGTTACGGCTTAAAGGGACTGTAACGGAAAAATGAAAGGGGGTAAAGGCTGAAATCTATGTATCTTAGGAGTTAGATCGAGACCCAAAAGTATATCTGATGTTCTCGAAAAATTAATATGCAAAAATCGGTNCCCATCTTAATCTGACACTGCACACACACACTACAAAAATAATGTTTACACATTTTGAAAATTAAAAATCCTTTCTTTCCTAGAGGATGGGCTGATTTAACCAAAAAAATTGTTTTGTATCCGCAGGAAAACAGTTAAAGTAAACTTTTAGGTTAATACCAGAAAAGGAAGGATCAAAAGATACTCCTGACCCCTTGACCCCCCCTCTGGATCCACGCCTGGCAATCTAAAAAAGACGATATCCCAGAGGATCTTAAGTAACTTAGATTTATTTGCTCCTATTATTATTTGAATTTAATATTTTTCATTTTTAATAGATTTAATTGATAATTATTATACATAAATATACGTGACGTTACCAGAACTCCGACCAATGACAGTGCAGTATTATCATTATGTCTCTTCATCTGTATCACGTGACCATTATACTGCACTGTCATTGGTGGAAGTTCTTGTCTCGTAATACGGACGTAAAAATAATTGTATGTACAATTATGTAAAATAATTATCAATTAAATCTATTGAAAATGAAAAAATTATCAAATTGAAGTAATGATAATTCAAATAATATAAATAACCCATTTTTACAGAATTTGTTAGCTATAACTTAAAACTCGCGAAAGATTACGATAATGAACCATTGTTTCGCTACTTAGCGATTTCCCTAAAGACCTAATATATGTACCGTGTGGTATTTCTCAGGATTGGATCGTAAGACTCCCTTCTCTCAACGCTCTTCATAATAAAAAGGAAGATAGTAAGGTTCCGAACGTTTATTTCTCTGAGCCTTCAATCTAAACAAATTTAATAAACCCACAGAAAAAGCTTTGAGTGAAAATCATACAATTATAACAAATAATCCACTCAGGCATTAAAAAACTGTGGCTAGGAACCAATAAACGAATACATAATCATCAATCATACTAGAATCAACCGATAAACATAGATATATATAAAATAATTACCACGGTGATCCCAGAATTCTGAACACGGATAATACTTGCAAAACGAATAAACATATACTGAATATAAATTTAACTACTACTCCGCGAGAAATCTTGCGTCTGCGCAGTCGGACTGTAAACAGTTCCTAAACTAGTTTTTTCACAATACATTCCGTACAGATCTTCAGGAGAAACTCAGAAATACGCAGGGGCGACAAACAGACTTTCTACACGCAGCATGGCTCGCGTAACACCATATCATTGTGAAATATTTACATTTTCTAATTTCTATTTCTATTTATTTTATTTTATTGTATGATCTTCCTTAATAAAAGTAAATTTTTCTTGTTGCGTTGTTGGAAAGATGTTCAACGTTCATGCTTCTCTTTCGATTTTTCCTTTTTTTGACAGACATCTGAACAAACATATGCGACGCATGCAATGACAAGCACCATAGTAAAAAAGCCCGAAAATGTATATTATATATTTTAAGAGAAACAGAATTTTAACACATTTTCTAAAAAGCATATTTCTGTTTTCTATTAGTGTAATTATTCTATATATTTATATCTTTCTGGCTTTTACTTAGAAATATGCTATGTACAAATTACAATTGAAGGCACCATAATACTGTGAAAGTTATTGCAAACACACGAATTTCTGGATTTTTCTAGATCTATATCTAAAAAGTACCTTCCGTAGGTGCAAACTAGATTTTCTGAATATTCTAGATCTGAAAAGTACATTCTACATAATTGGTACAAACTAGATTTGTGTGATTTTAGATCTATATAGAAAATGCATTCTTTTGGTGCAAACTAGATGTTTTTGGTTCTAGATCTAGAAAGAATGTGCATTTTGTTGGTGCAAACTAGATTTTTCTAGATCTAGATCTTGATAGAAAGAATTTTTTGTCCATGCTTTCTGTTGGTGCAAACTAGATTTTTGTGGTTTTAGATCTAGATCTAGGAAGTTCATTCCGGTTTGTGCAACCTATATTTTCTAGATTTAGATCTAGGAAGTACATTCCGTTGATGCAATCTAGATTTTTCTAGATCTAGATCTTGATAGAAAGAATTTTTTTGTCCATACTAGAAAGTACATTTCGTTGATGCAAACTAGATTTTTGTGGTTCTAGATCTAGATCTAGTAAGTTCATTCCGGTTGGTGCAAACTAGATTTTCTAGATCTCCATCTTGATAGAAATTACATTTCGTTGGTACAAACTAGATTTTTGTGGTCTTAGAGTGACCTAGAAAGAAAGTACATTCTGTTGGCGCAAACGTGATTTTTCTAGATCTAGAAAAAAGTACATTCCGCTGGTGCAAGCTAAATTTTTTGATATTTCTAGATCTGGAAGATACATTCTGTTGGTGCAAACTAGATTTTTCTCGATCTGAATATGGATCTAAAAAGTACTAGATCTAGAAAGTACACTCCGTTGGTGGAAACTATACAGTACTCAAGGGAATCCAAGCTATGGATGTAAAATATAGATAATATTCCATACACACAGAAAATATATCTACTCTACTCGCATATAACATAAAGTCAACCGTTTGTATAGAAACAATTTTAATTCTGAAATTGTTACTTAATTCTCATATTTTTGGGACACCCTGTATAAGTACATATTTTCAAATGAGGATGTTTATCTGTTTTTTCGGATTGAATAATGAATTAATTATTTTCAAATTAAACTTATTTCAACAATGTCAGAGAGTGAGTTCTATTGATTTTTATTCATTATCCTGCATATTCATTCTTTTATTCATTATCCTGCATATTCATTCTTTTATTCATTATCCTGCATATTCATTCTTTTATTCATTATCCTGCATATTCATTCTTTTATTCATTATCCTGCATATTCATTCTTTTATTCATTATCCTGCATATTCATTCTTTTTTCCAATATTCAGTTTTATATTAAAGTATCATCAATGACGTATGAAGTTTAAGGAAACTTTCAATTTTCTTTTTAATCCACTCTTGTTGGAAATATATCAGATTTCTTATAACTACATTTAATGAAGATACGTTTGATTGCAAATACAGATACGATGCTATATCGATAGAACTAATATACGATTGAACTAAAGTCAGCCGGCTTTTAGAGCATTTAAACAAATATAAATTCAATCATGTTAATATGAACTTATCAAAAACATATTTTATCATCACATTTGAAAAAACAAAACTTACGTGCGTTCAATCGATAATTAGTCCAATTGATATGACACCAACAATGTGGGAAAATGAAAAACCGGTTTTTTCAAAAGATAAATTAGTCTTGAGATTAGCAAAAAGAGAGGATTAAGCATTGATCTCGATATCCACCATTCTAAAGTTTTTAGCTCAGGTTGCAAAGATATCTATTTTGATTTTGTATATTTATATTTTAATATATATACTCAGTAAAGACATAATTCCTTTTATAATCTTTATATCCTGCCTGCGGATTGTGTAGGTCAAGAACATCAGGTATATACTATCTATATAGAGATTAGTAAACTAGAGTAATCAGGTATATAGAGATCAGTAAACTAGAGTAATCAGGTATATAGAGATTAGTAAACTGCAGTAATCAGGTATACAGAGTAACTAGAGTAATCAGATATATAGAGTAACTGGAGTAATCAGGTATATAGAGTAACTAGAGTAATCAGGTATATAGAGTAACTAGAGTAATCAGGTATATTGAGATTAGTAAACTATAGCAATCAGGTATATAGAGTAATCAGTCTAATATATAGAGTAATCAGTCCAACCTGTGCTATTAGCTAGAGATTTGGATGAATCAGCTCTCGTAGGACCTGGAGATAGTGGAGGTAGAGGAGAACTAGGAGAGGGATTACAACTAGAGGTTAGAACAGGGTTAGTCCTTATCTTCTATGTATATACTTTGCTTGTCTGGGTGGACATCACAATTGGTTTTCCCATTAACTTGAAAATAACTTATGAAGTAAAAAGGTTCTGTGTAACATTTACACACACTCACATACCATTTGCTGTTTTTCTTTGCTTTTTCAGTACAGTTCAACTCATTAATATGAATACATCGGAAGAACTTATATGTATAATGTCACCTTCAATTTGAGTTTGAAGCTGTCAGTTGTATTTTCGAAAGCTGTCAAAGTTTTTTGCCAGAGGCTTAACAGGGAAATGTATATTTTACTAAAACCAAGGTTATAATGCAAGGAAATTTAATTGCAGTTGCGTATACTCTGCGTTCATATTGAAACCAGTTCTATCTGAGCGGAATTTGTAAATAAGAATATATGCATCATCAGAGTTTGTTTAGTATCCGTGGAGGCTAAAAGCATTAAATTTTGATAATTTTGATAATTCCACATAATAGTTTCCTATGACCAGAATATTTCATTGATTTTTCTGTGAAAGATGGATCCCATGTCAGGCTTCGACATCCGCCTTGTGTTTACATTACCGCCCAGAGACATTACACTACAGTACAAAAGATGCGTACACCTCTGAAATAACTTTCCTTGCATTATAACCTTGGCTAAAACATAATCAAATTTCTGTGATTTTTATAAATTAATTTTTTGTAAAGAGAAATAAATAGCCCTGAAACCCGCGACACGTGTTTCCAAAACAATAGATAGTTGGGCGCAACATAACCAAGTGAAAAGTGATAAAGACGACATTTTAAGAATTCTTCCGATGTTTTCATATTGATGAGTTTAACTGTGTAATAAATTGACTATAAATGTTGTCCTTCTATTCCACAGTTTTATGAGTCTCACTTAGAAGTAAACAATTAAGTAATTAATAAATTTTCTAATCCTTAAATCTTGACAACCAAATTATGTATATTATATTTCAAACTTACATTACTTGATTATAGTTTGAAATATCAGAGGTCTACGAAATCGGATTGTAAAGGTATAGAAATTAGAAAATCAGAGTTTGTGGCAAAAACTCAACTCCTTCAATGTCTTAAATTTTCGAAGCGAAAAAAAATTATTAAATAATATTTTTTTTAAAATCTAAACCATGGATGATCTAACCCTGATCCAAATGGAGGATGGAGTAACTGCGAGTTGGACTGCAGAATCTAGGAATAGAACATTGTTATGGACAGGGGCAATCGATGTTACGTTAGTCTAAAACTAGAATGTTCCCATGCACGCGGTTTGAATTTCATTTGAAAGTTGAAAGCCCTTTACGATTTCATTTAATTCTGCGCAATTCTGTTATATTTCGCTCTCGCAAGCAATGAATTGTGAAGATATTTCGCATAGATTAATTAATAATACAGAAAGAACACTAGATGTCGTCTTTTCAAGGTTTAAGGGTTTTTCGTTTACCCTGTCGCATGCTCTCTCTTTGTCCTTTCATTCAACGCGTTACGCGTTACGAAAACCCCCTTAAATCTTGAAAAGACGACATCTAGTGTTCTATCTGTATTTTTATTAATCTATGGTATTTCCATTTTTTTCTCAGACTAGGGATCACAGTCTTCTAGTTCTAAATATTGCATCTATAACTTTTCATTTGTACTGAGGCCGAACTTAAAAAATTTGAGCCGCGGCTCAAATATGGTTGGTACCACTTAAAACTGTATTTAATTTTTATAGATTTAAGCCGGCGCTCATTTGAAACCGGTTTTTTGGGGATTTGAGACGCGGCTTAAATTCATTAAATTCAGACACGGATTATTTAATAATAAAAGAACCAGTTCAAGAGAACCAACAATTGATGAAAAAATTCCGAACAGTCTTCTTTGAATTTGCATTCGTTTGGGTAACTCTATATTTTACTTTTTCGGTTTTTTTATATTTGATTCGAATTGAAAGATACAGGGAATAATGAGGCTTTAATAACATCCTTGCAATCATTTGATTACCATGATTTGAAGATTAAATTCAGTTCTATGCATATCTTGTAAATGTTGATTTACATAATGTTAATAGCAATCAAACAAGTTATACTGCACAATGAATCATTTATAAATATGAATATTATACACTGTACAATGTATACTGCAGGGACACGCTCCAGAACTAACACTTGGCCGCGCCGGCCCATTTCTAACACTGAGTGTTAGAAATGGGCACAAATTCATGAAAGACTGTGTTTTTGGGATCCCTGCCCATATCCAGAGTAAAGTCTAAAATAAAAACTATAACCAACATTTTATTAAACATGACGAGGACAACAATTTCCTATTTTAAACTTTTTTTTAAATCAAAATTATATTAGGAGTTCTTTTTATATTAAATCTCTTGACCGTTTTCAAGACAATGTCAGGTTACCCATATATTTTCGAACATATCCTGAATATGAAACGTTGTCGCGTTTTCGAGACAAAACTCACACTTTCCTGTTTTTGAGCATAATCCACTTTTCAGGACAAAGCTCACTTTCATAACTTACAAAATAAATCCCTGAAAACAACAATTATCTTATGAAGACTAAATTAATTGAGTTTTGAATTATTTCTAGAAGTTTCCACATTATATCTGTTAAATTAGAGAATATCGATGATTTATTTTTAAACACTTTTAACAGAGAGTTTCACGGATTTCTAGTTAATTCTGTATTGTAAGAACAAATGATATTAATATATGTTTTCTCAATGCTGTAATGATTTAAAAATTATAAAAGAACAGTTTGTTTTTATTTCCTATTTTGTTTATATTTAACCTTATCAAAAAATCTTGTTTTCTTACGTAAGTGAGTAAATTTTTGAAAATTGACATTGATATGAATTCCGGTAATTGTCTCAAAACCAGGATATGTTCCGAAAACGCGACATGAGCTGAAATCCGGTAAATGTTTCAAAATAGGGATATGTTCGAAAATGAAAGAAATCATCAAAAACTAATTATCACACCTTATCATTAGTTTAAAATTGACATTTATTGTTTCAATGTATAGTCTTAGCCATTTTTTTTATAAATATATGGTGTAATTTTGTTCTACTCGTCTTGGATTTAAAGATATATACTGTTGGAAAAGATAACTTTGCAGTGTTAGAAATGGGCCAAGTGTTAGTTTTAGAACTAATATCCCCTGTACTGTACTGCAGTTGCCTTTTCAACTCAGCTGTACATAAAAAACTTCTCTCCGTGAGTTTGCAATAAATTTGTGCAAAAAAAGAAAAGAGACTGCTGACTTTTCAATTTGCATATACCTTTGCAAACTTATGCCGTAGACCTCAGGTATATTCAATTTGCATATACCTTTGCAAACTTATGCCGTAGACCTTAGGTATATTCAATTTGTAATATTGTAAGGAAATTTGAAAAATAAAGGCTTTCAACATTAACAAATTTCATGGATTGTGAAAAGTTGTTGAACCGTATGTAGATCAGTTCTCTCGCTATTCATTAAAGGAATTGAGTTTTTGCCACAAACTCAAATTTTCTAATCCTCATATCTTGGCAACCTACGGGTTGAAACCCTTAATATTTCAAACTTAGGCTATTTGATCTAACAGAATTCATAGCTTGAAATATCTAACGTCTACGAAATTGGATTGCAAAGATATAGGTATTTGAAAATCAGAGTTTGTGACAAAGACTCAATTCCTTTGTTCCCAAGTTGAAATGACATAGGGTTTAAGATATCAGTGCCTTTCAAAAAAAAACCTACACTTTAAAATTAGAGAAAAATTATTGATTTTATTGATTTTTTTAAAAATTTAATAGTAACCTGATTTTTACAAAGTGCACAATCTAGAGAGCAGATAGGTGATCCTGACCGGCGGGGAGAGAAGGAGAAGGATTTACGGGATTCACGTTGCGGAGCACCACTCACCTCAATCAAGAAATCAATAAGAACACAGTTTAGGACTTTTGTCTTTCAAAGGAATTGAAACTTAAATTTGCCAGTCCCTTTATCTTTGCAACCTGATGGTGTTTAAGTTTGATATTTCAAATTTAGATTATTTGATCTAAAAGAATTCGTACTTTGAAATATCTGAAGTCTACGACGTACATTGGATTGCAAATATTTTCCTGATTTAAAAAAATCAGGAAAATTGCTGTAAATCTTAAGCGTTTGTTTATGATTATCAGTAAGTTGTTTTAAAATTTACACTGCGCTTGATATACAGGGTGTCCCACGAAAAATGACAGTTGGCGAATGGTTTTGAATGTATTCTTCCGTATACTGTATTAGATATTAAAGACTTTTTGCAGTTTAATTCGTTAGAAAAATCTTTTACTCAAATATATTTTATTTTAAAATCAATTTTACTATAAATTATATTTCTTTTAAATGATAATTAATCTCTTTTGTATCAAAGAATTTAACAAATTATGGAAAAAAAAACATTTAAAACTATTCACCAACTGGACACCCTGTTTATAACATGACATCATTGAAAGTCACTTCCGACTTTTCTTTTTGGGGTGTATACATTTTTGTAGATTTTTATTTTTAAGAAACCAGAAAACAATGGATAATGTGAAAAACACACATGAAATAATTGTGGTAATTCAGCACTTCTCAAGTTATTCAAAGTCTTAATTTTCCGTATATGTTTTTCCGATAGAAGATTAAATTGGTATCGTTGTGTATTGGACATGTTTTTTGCATAAAGCTGACCCACCAAAAAGTCCATTGTTTCGAAAATCAAGTTAATCAAGAAAATTGTTAAAACAACAACTTTTTTGATTATCTTTTTAAAAGTCTGTGTTTTTTAATTATTTGTGTAACCTTGATACTACCACCTCCAGGTTGCAACAAAAAATTTAAGCTTGAGATAAATGCAAAGGAATGTTTGGTGCACCGACAAGACGTTTTCTTACAGAACGTTTTCTTACTAAGCGTTTTCTTACTGAACGTTTCCTTACAAAATGTCTCCTGCCTGAAAACGTCTTCTTACAAAACGTTTTATAACAAACGTTTCCTTACAAAAGGTTTTCTTACAAAACGTTTCTTCCCTAAACGTTTCCTACATATTACGTTTCCTGCCAAAAAATGTTTCCTATGAAAATGTTTTCTCCAGATGAACCTTCATAAATACGTTTTGTAGTACATGAAACGTTTGTCACAGGAAAGTTTTGTAGCAGGAAATGTCTTGTGGCACAAAGCGTTTGGTGGCAGGGAAATGTTTTGTATAGGAAACGTTCTGTGAGTAAACATTCAGTAAGGAAACGTTCTGTAGGTTCTCCAACAATTGGGAATTGGATTGAGAGGATTTCCATAACACGGGATAACACATTCTCAGATAGTTTTTACATAATGCCAGTTTTCCAGAACTTGATATTTCTTGGTTCTCAAGAAATAAAGATTTTACAGATATAAGTAATGCTTTAGAGTGGTTGGGAGTGGGTATATAAACAGCTTGATCTAATTACTATAATTTAGTGCTTCACAATCTCCAGATTGTAGGATATTAGGTCAAGTAGTTTAAAAGGGTAGAACAGATAAGGTTTGTTAACACTAAAAGCCTATGGAATAAAAGGAGGTTAAAGGACCTAGGTTCACATTGATTTAGCCTGCCTATAAACGGTCTCATTCATTTTTCAGACAGGGTCGACTTTACCTGACTAACTCACTTATGCTTTTCTGTAGCCCTTTACATGTACATTTTAGCACTGTAAAGCACTTATAAAGCAGTTATAAAAGGTTGATATAAAATGGATGAAAAAGACAGACGAAACTGAAATTTAATTAAACAAGACAATTTCTAGTCAAGAAGGAATTGGAAATAATTTAGACATTTCACATAAAATACGGAAATTCTTCTTTCAATCTTCGTAACAGGACTGATGGCTTTATGTGAATTCATTAACATCTATTTACAAATGTATTGTATCGAATTTACAAATCAGAAACTGTGGTGCAAACTTTTAAATTAAAATTGGGTCAATTGTAAGTAATACAATTGCTACCTTTATATATTGAATTAATGGGGTTTCCCGGAAATAAACTTAACCCTATCCCCGCTGAGGTACTTGAAAACCAGGATACGCTGGGGGGGGGGGCAATTTGACCCCCCCCTCTAAATCCCATGTTTGATGTCCAAAAATGACAAATGATACATCATTGGAAAGCTCTTGTGCTCTACCTTTAGAATCTGCAAAAAAATTTGCAAATTTGCAAAAATTGAATTTTTTATCGCAAAATCCAGTTATATAGCAAAAATGTTTGCAAAAAAAATTTGCCCAAAAAATGAAAAATTATACATTTTTGAAAAGCCCTTGACCATGCCATTTCAAATATGCAAAAATGTTTGCAAAATTTTAAATAACCTGATTTTTAATCAAGAAAAACTAAAAATGTGCAAATTTCCTTTGACAGGTTGTTTGCAAAAAATTTGCAACTTTTTTCGCAAAACTTATGCAATCCGTTTTCTTATGTCATAGGCTTTCCAAAAAGCTAAATTTTATCAAAATCTGACAAGTGAAAGTGGGTCAAAACAAAGATTTAGTTTGTTACAGGAAAAAGCATTCATTCAGGCAGTGTGCCTGAGGACTCAGGCAGTTAGTATTAAAGCCCGGTTTTAGGCCTAAAGGGAGGGCTTTGGGTATGTAGGAAAAGTCAGAAAATTTCAACAGCCTCAGACCAATACTTTTTGAGTTATGTAAAAAAAACTACAGGGGGGGGTCAAATTGACCCCCCCCCCCCCAGCGGGAATAGGGTTAAATTCACCAATAAACAGTTGGAACTGTGGATATCGAAGAGTTAAGCGCTTTTCATCGAAAAGTTGGACGGGTAAAACATTTAATCTAGGGTATGACATGGGTATAGGTTAGGTTTATATACTGCATCTTCAAACTGGGACTTCACATTAAAACTATAGGATGAAGGCTGAAGGGTTGTATGCTTCCGTATAGTCAACTTTAGTAGTTAAACATTACAATAATTTAACAGAGGGTCAAACTTTTATTGCGACAAACTCATGAATTGAGGTTTAGCCCTTTAAAGGGACTTTAGATTAATTTCAGCTGACCCTCCGTGTAAATAAAAGGCCCGGTTCAAAATGTTATCCTTGGAACCCTAATCTGAGCTGAAAACTTTAGAATGGTGGATATCGAGATCAATGCTTAATCTCCTCTTTTTCTTAATCACCAGATTAAATAATGCTTTTTCTCCTCTTGTTATTAATCTCCAGATTAACTAATCAATCGGGATTAAAGATATCCCATTTAAAAGTTCCCAGCTCTGATCTAATATATGGTTGCTGATTAGGTCGTTGTTCTGACTCAAAAACTACAATTCTTATGATTTCTTCATTGTTTCTTCTAAGCAAGAAATGCGCAAGTCACTTTTGCAGTTAGAACCCACAAACAAACAGTTAAAAAAATGTGTCAAAGCTAGAGTACTTGATCAGACAAAGGTTTAGAGGGTACTATTGTAAATCGGTTATTGACATTTTTGTAATTACATTTCCACCTTAAAGTCCCTTTAAATTAGAGGAAAATGTTGACTAACACCATGGAGGATCTAATCCTGTGGGAACGGGAATACTTGTTAGCTAAGCGTTGTCATTAAATTACAGATTAAAGTCACAAAAGTTTAACCCTTCTGAATAATTTCTTTATTGTGGGTTTTCAGCGAAATATGATATTGTTTCGCAAAAATTTCGCAATTTTTTGCATTCCGTCAAGTGAATTTTTTTCCCGCAAAACAGATTAATGCGAAATTTCGCGAAAGAAGCGAACATTTTTATAAATTTTCGCGAAATTGTCGCATATTTTTTCCCCTGAAATTCCGCATCGTTTTCGCTGTCTTTCGAAAAATTCATTTTCGCGAAATTTCAATGATATATGCTATGAAGAAAAAACTCACCGGGATGCGAAATACGAAAAAAAAATTCGCGAAATTTCGAACTTTTTCATTAAAGTTTTCGTTCGCTGGAAACCATAAATGTGACCAGTATAGTTGTCATTATGAAAGCACACGTCCAAACATTGATGCATTCACATTTTAAAATATCTATTTTCATAACTTTTTCTAATACTTACTCTCGATGCAAATGTCTAAGGGAAAAAATTAGATTAGAATAATCGTTTGTTGCATTAAATCATGAATCTTTCATTGATGTTTTGTAGTATATACTTCATGGAAAAATCAAAGTAGAGATTTAATGGTCAATTTTAAAGAGTTAGTTTAAAATTTTAAAATTGATGAATTATTTACTTTCCATACCATGACTTTGTTTTGTAATTATATTAATCTCTGTTTGTTTGTGTTTCCAATAATTACTCATGAACCCTTTAACCAATTTGTCTCAAATTTGTATTGGAGAACTCGCTATAACCATGAGAATGTTCTTAGATAGGTTTTAAAAATTTAATACCTGAAGGGAAGGAGATCTTGGCGGAGTTATGGATGATATCCAAATATTTAAAGATACCTGAAGGGAAGGATATCTTGTAGGAGTTATGGATGATATCCAGATATTTAAAGATACCTGAAGGGAAGGAGATCTTGGTGGAGTTATGGATGATATCCAGATATTTAAAGATACCTAAAGGGAAGGAGATCTTGGCGGAGTTATGGATGATATCCAGAAATTTAGAGATACCTGAAGGGAAGAATATCTTGTAGGAGTTATGAATGATATCCAGATATTTAAAGATACCTAAAGGGAAGGAGATCTTGGCGGAGTTATGGATGATATCCAGAAATTTAGAGATACCTGAAGGGAAGGATATCTTGTAGGAGTTATGGATGATATCCAGAAATTTAAAGATACCTGAAGGGAAGGAGATCTTGGTGGAGTTATGGATGATATCCAGAAATTTAAAGAACTTCGTCTGGTCTCAGTCATTTCACGATTCTGAAATACAGGGTGTCCCAATAAACATGGTAATTTAGAGACAATATGAAATTCGTCTTTAGTTTTAATTCGTGCGTCCAAGATTAAATGTACTTCACACAATAAAAATCATGTAGAAGAATATAAATGAATAAATATAAGTTGAAAATGAATGTTATTAGAAATGTTAAATCTTAGTTAATGCTTCAATCAATGGATTAATGCATAAAATGAATAGTTCAGAAGTTCAGATAATCTAAGATCTATTAATCCTCTAATACTTTAATGTATTTCATTCAATGCTTTCTATACTTTCTAATCAATAAACTGGAGAACTTTTTCCTATTTCCTAAATAAATAATTCAATACCTTGCAAACTTGAATTTGGCATTTTGGCATTTTGGCATTTTGGCATGTGGCAGTAATTTGTTTTGAGCATAGATAAATTTATAAAAATGGGTTGAGACAAGCTCTTACTAAAAACTAACGCAATTTACCAATTAATTCTTTTTAAATAAGGCAAAAAATAAATGCTTTATAATAATAAAATGTACATGTCTCACGGGCAGCCGTAGTACATTTGAATTTCCGAGCCGGGTCAAACTTGTCGGTCTCAGTTTGTACTGTACCTAGCTCTATGGACAGGACTAACCGGTGCAACAAGGTTGACCCGGTCAGACTTTATGCTTCATATAGGTTAAATTTACTTGTACTAAAGGGGCAGAGGTTATAAAAAAGATAAAGTAAGATACAGAGTTAAAAATTAAACACTCGACACATTCTTGAAAAAAATGTAAGTTTTCACAGTAGTCTGGATCTGTGTGTGCATGGCATTAAGCTTATTCTACATTTCTATTTGAAAAAAATCGTTCAGATCTTTTTAAGAAACAAATGTACATTTTTAGAATTACTGACTTATAAATTCTGAATCCTACCAGTTGTGCAATGTAAAAATGCATATTTTCTTCTACTTACTACAAATTCAGTTAAAATGAAATTCATTAGTGGTTTTAGTTTTTAATTAATATGTCTGTTTAGTATAGGGTTACCCACAAATGATGAGACTGTAAAGACGACCCAAAACTCTAAAAATATAACGAATTGAAGCTTTAGGTTTCTGTATTCGGCCTACAAGGAATTCCTTGAATGCAAGAAAACGGAAAAAAAATTCTGTACAATCGTCTCTGAAGTCTCATCCTTTATGTATACATTCATTGTAATTTGTACAGTATGCGGTTATGCTAACTATTAAAGTTGTCGGAATTACCAACATTTCCTCAACCCTCATTTCACTTTCTAAAGGTAATTTCATTATATTATTCACTTGATATAACATGTATTGTCTCTTGAATTATTCACGTTCTGAGTGGAATAATGCATACTCTGTAAAGGAATTGAGTTTTGTCACAAACTCTGATTTTCTTTTCCCTATATCTTTTCATTTTATTGTCGGAGACCTAAGATATTTCAAACTATGAATCTCTTTAGATCAAATAATGAAAGTTTGATATATCAAAGGTTTACACCATCAGGGTGAAAAGATATGACGATTGTAAAATCATAATTTGTGGCAAAAACTCAGTTCCTTTATATGAACGCTATACGCTCTTGGATATATTAAGTTTTTAACCAGTTGCTCCTTATGTACAGATGAAAGTAAAATTAGCAGCGATCGATATTGAATTCTTTTAGATATCAGCACACACACCCTTTCGTTTTTCGCGAACACTCCCTTTAAGTTTAATAAGAAAATGTAATAAAAAGAGAAGACAAGAAGGAAACTATGAATATTTAATTTTCAAGTTTAACTTCAAGAATAAACTCAACATTGAGAAGTTTATCAAACCTTATTACATTACAAGTTACATCTAGAAAAATGCGTAAACATATTTCATGAATGCTGAACACCACGGCCGAAAGCGTGGCGTACGCAAATTTGGTTTTTTTTTGAAGTGCAAACAACTTTTTGCTTTTAAAAGCACAAAAGATATTGATTCAATTTTAGAAAAATGCTACAACATTTTTTTTTATTTGTTTGATTATTTATGTTTGTGTGTTAATTATCAAAAACTAGTCATTTAAAAAATTCGCAACTTTTGAAAAATATAGATATAATTTTTGGCGCAGTATCGTTTAGCGGATATGAAAATAATTCTTTTGTCCTATTTTTTGTTGTGGAATGCAAAAAGATTCATTTTAAATTTCAATTACATAGCTTCATATCTTCATATAACATTTTAATCTTGGATTAAATCAACTTTAAGAAAACACTCAGATTTTCTGCTTTAATTTTATTTCTTGGTTCTGGGATGCCGGCATAAATTTTCCATGGAAAAGATTAAGTTTGGATTATTTGATTTGTTTAGAAACCTTTTAACGAAATTATTTAGACACAAACTTAGACATATTTGGAGTAAAGTAGTCCAAGTAGGAAAATGCACAAAGTTTAAGCAAAAGAGTGTAAAAAGTTGTTGCTTACTAGGCCCCGCTTACAAACTTTCCATACAGGAAACTTTTTAATGCTCTAAGCATTCATTTCTTTGTAGGAAACTTTCTGCAAGAGACAGGAACAGGGTTCATTAAGGAACTATACAGTAGTCATATTCAATCTTTTGCAACTAACCGAATTGGCAGTTAGATTCTTTAGAAACTTAAAGGGACCCTTCACTTGCTTGGGTAATTTGAGGGTAAACTGAATAGCCCTTTCATTCATTCATATGTTTATTCAACTACAAAGCATGAGATATTACAAATAAGCAATCACAATTTACTTTGCAGTTTGGACCCGCCTAACCAGGGTTGGTTGTTTTGAGTGGTTGGCCCGAAGTTAATTAACGATACTGAATATAATTGGTTACACATATCAAGATATGTTTTTGGATAGGTAAGGAGTTGATTGGAAGGAAGGAGATTGTCAGGTGATCTGTGGCAGGGTGAGATCAGAGGGATTTTTATGTAGAGATAAAATTAAAATACAGGGTGTTAATGATGGTAGTTACAGAAACAGAAATAAGCTAATAAAGTTTCAGTTATTATAGTTTTTTATATAAAATTTATTCACACGATATACGGCTAGGTTTTCCGCATTTAAATCTCTCATAATTCTCAAGATAAATATTGATTACTCTTTCTTTAAAATATTTTTGCAGATTTAGTTTCTTTAAGGTCAATTTCAATTTTATTCCACAATTTAGGAAACATTGCGGACGGAAAGCTCTCTAAATTTTTGCCTAAAACCCGTTCTAATTTATATGATTTTGTTCTATTTGGTTCAGCTAAAGACTTAAACATATTTTGGAAGGAAGAGGGAAGGTTATCATTAAAGTATCCATGCATAAAAGTCAGAATACAAAGTTTGTATGTATCATCAAGATTAAGAACTTTCAGTTTTGAAAATAATGGATTTGAATGTGCCTTGAAAGTACTATTATTAACCGCTCTGATTGCCTTTTTTTGCAAAGATCTGATTTTTGGCAGTTTAGAGTTTTTAACCCCTCCCCAAGTAACAATTCCATATTCAATATGAGGCCTTACAAGAGAAGAAGTAGACGAATATTTAATGGTAAGATATTCTTAATTTGAGACAAAGCAAAGATTGAGCTAACAATTTTATTTGAGATATATTCAATTTGAAAATCCCAGTTTAGCTATTGATTGGTATTAGTCTTACTTTTCAAAGACAACTGTGGCCTGGGAAAAAGCCGATTTATCCTTTAGAATTCCAGCGCAAAGGTACCTTTGCATTTACACTATTAGATTCTTTTTGTCATAGTCATGGATTTTTACAAATTTTCAAAAATTAAATTAAATTGTAGTACCTAATAGTTAATTGTAGATATTTTTAATTTTTTCAAATCATTTTTAAATTGTCTATTTTCAAAATATAACTTATTTTACAATTATTTTACAACATTTGAAAGTTTAATACGCTTTCACTACTTCCCCAGAAATCCCCGTATGATTAAAGAGTTGATATCATAGGAACCGGTGTGTCTGAGAAAGAAAGTCGTCTTTGTATGAACGTGTTAATTTTTTTGGTATCAATTTTGGACACGAAAACGTTAATTCTAAAATCAAAAGTTTTATTATACAATGGCTGGGACATGCTGTCATTAACATATGATAATTTAAGATTTTATTGAACCGTTGATAGTTGTTACTGAAAAAACGTGTAAATAGTGTCTATGCAAAGGGGAAGTGAACCGTTCCTTTAAACTAAAACTTAGAGAGCTCAAAGTGCAATATTGTAGAGAAAAGTTTAAGGATTCATTTGATACCAATGAGAGATAGACAGTCTCTCCCTTTCAGGTCAAATAAAGCTTTCAGGAATAATTCTCTTTTATGTTTTATTAAAAAATACCTATTATTAATGCAATATACAAAGAATAAAATTTTATCACGTATCATGTATCAAAACACTTTTTACAGTGTTAGTGAAGAGAAGAACTGGGGGGTTAACATAAACATTTTTCATTATAACCCCTAGAGAGAGAGAGAGAGAGAGAGAAGGAGAAGTGGAAGGGCGCAGATGGGACCAATTATAGATAATCTAATGCACATCTTTATATTGATAAAAAGATATATAGATTCGACAAATTTATCAGTATTTTCTCAATTATCTTTTATTGGTGACCTTCCCCATGGACATATATAAACCAATATTTATTGAGAAAAAGATAGCCTCGCATTATCTAAGTCCAATCTTATCTATCTAACCTTTCGACCGAATTAACTTGAAGGAACTAATGGACTTGGCATACAGGAGTGAAACAAGTCTGCTTCTTTCCTTTTTTAATGTATATTGAACACTGGAGAAGCTACTAGGTCACAAAGCCGTGCCAGTAATTCCAAATAAAATTGACTTTGATCCTAACAGCAAATATTCCAAGTGTCAGCTTATTTAACACAAAAAGGCACTTATGTTTAATAAGTCTAAGGTTGTTTAAACTTCAAACCTTAAAGTTGGGGGGGGGGNAGCGCCTGATCCAATCAGGGTTCAGTCATGTGTTTGTTGTCT